TTTCCTTCCCCTCCCCCATGGGTTTCTGTTAAGTTTCTCAGGATCCACATAAGAGTGAAAACATATGGTATCTGTCTTTCTCTGTATGACTTATTTCACTTAGCATAACACTCTCCAATTCCATCCACGTTGCTACAAAAGGCCATAGTTCATTCTTTCTCACTGCCAAGCAGTATTCCATTGTGTATATAAACCACAATTTCTTTATCCATTCATCAGTTGATGGACGTTTAGGCTCTTTCCATAATTTGGCTATTGTTTAAAGTGCTGCTATAAACATCGGGGTACAAGTGCCCCTATCCATCAGCACTCCTGTATCCCTTGGGTAAATTCTTAGCAGTGCTATTGCTGGGTCATAGGGTAGATCTATTTTTAATTTTCTGAGGAAACTCTACACTGTTTTCCAGAGTGGCTGCACCACTCTGCATTCCCACCAACAGCGCAAAAGGGTTCCCATCTCTCCACATCCTCTCCAGCCATCTATAGTCTCCTGATTTGTTCATTTTAGCCACTCTGACTGGCGTGAGGTGGTATCTCAGTGTGGTTTTGATTTGGATTTCCCTGATGAGGAGGGACGTTGAGCATCTTTTCATGTGCCTGTTGGCCATCTGGATGTCTTCTTTAGAGAAGTGTCTAATTCATGTTTTCTGCCCATTTCTTCACTGGATTGTTTTTTGCGTGTGGAGTTTGGTAAGTTCTTTATAGATTTTGGATACTAGCCCTCTGTCTGATATGTCATTTGCAAGTATCTTTTCCCATTCTGTCGGTTGCCTTTTAGTTTTGTTGACTGTTTCCTTTGCAATGCAGAAGCTTTTTATCTTCGTGCTTCTGCACTGCAAAGGAATAAAGGTATTCTGACATAGCTCTAGTCAGTCTTTCAATTTCCAGGGTCTTTTCTTTGATAGTCATAAAAGTTTTACCTCAAAATACACGAGTCTTTAATCAATATTATTCAACATGGAGATGTCTGACAGTTTCTTTTGAAACAATCAATGGTAATTGCCTGTATTAAATGACAACATAAAAGCTCTTAATCCATTAATCCTTCCTATTTGTTTTTAAGAGTATCTTTCCATGGTTCTAGGAACTCATAATACTTCTAACCAAATTCATGAATCACAGTCATGAGTCCTTAGAATAAAATCAGAAATTATTCTTCCTCACCACAGCCTATTTAACCAATGCCACCCTATAACCTTACATCATGAAAGCAGCAGGGGTTGGCAAACTTTTTCTGTACAGGACCACACACAAAATATTTTAGGCTTTGTAAGCCATATGAGCTCCATCACAGCTACTCAAGTCTGCTGACAAAGCAGGAAAGCAGACACAGACAACATGTAAACGAAGAGGTGTGGCTGTTCCAATAAAAATTTATACCAACAAGATCTTGGCCAAGCATGCTAAAATTGGCTGATCCCTGGTCTAGACCAAAATAAAGCACCGATACAAACAGAACTACATTTTTTTCCCCTAAATCCTTCATAGGATGGCAGAGAAATTTATAAAATGTATTTCAGAGTCTCTCTGTTAAGCTATCTGTAAAGACAAGAATGGATATTTTAAAAAACTGACAAAGTAATGATATCAAAAAAGTACCTGGTTCACTTAAAGTGTAGATAATCCAGTTACAATGATTAAAATTCATGTTATCCATAGCTTCCTATGTGACAATAAGGTTTTTCAAACTCTGCATATTTGACATATTAAACTGAGTAATCCTTGTCGTGGAGGCTGTCCTGGATATTAAAGGTTTAATAGCATCTCTGGCCTCTATCTACTAGATGCTAGTAGTACTGCCCCAGATGGAACTACCTCAAATGTCACAGTCAAATAAAATGTCCCTTGGCAGGTAAAGTCACCCCAGTTGAGAAGCACTGCCCTAAAACAATGTCTGCACTTTAATCTGTCTTTGAGATCTTGTATTTTTTCATGTTTATCATCATAGGATATCCAAACTTTTTCATTTAATGTCAGTTTATTTTGTTATTGTACAGTAACTGTTTTATATGCCTTATTTATATGAGCTTAAATGCCATTATAATATGATAATATCAAATAATTTCCCCACTTTTTTTTTTGGACACCTATGTTCTTTACAATACACCTTTTAAAAAAACATTTAGAATTACTTCCTTAGGACACAATGCTCAAATTAACATATTCACTTATGAATCCACTGGCTAGGGACTCTTTTAATGACATGACACAAGAGTCTAATGTGTCTTCATTCACACACTACTACACATCTGTGACTTAGAGTTGCTGTTTCCTCACTAGAATGAACTTATTTGCTAGGCAAAAAATATGCCTTGCAGTCTCCAATTATTCCTGAGGCTAATTATTTGTACATATATTTAAAAGTTATACCTTATTACCTAAAACAGTGAAATCACAATTTTCATCAAAGAGGTAAATTAGAAAATTATGTGTCTTAGAAGAGAAGAAATCCTAAAAAAGTCTTCTCTAGGTAATGCACTGTTTTTAAATGTTTATTTTTGAGAGAAACAGAGAGAGAGAGAGAACACAATCAGGGGAGGGGAAGAGAGAGGGAGACACAGAATCCAAAGCAGGCTCCAGGCTCTGAGCTGTCAGCAGAGAACCTGACGTGGGGTTTGAACTCACCAACTATGACATCATGACCTGAGCAGAAGTTGGACACTTAGCCGACCGAGCCACCCAGATGCCTCTGTACTGACTTTTTTTTTTTAATAGCTGGCTTACTTTCCTAATATTTACCCTAGTATTATATTTCATTAACGTTCTTTGTGAATAATGGGTGATGGGAGAGCTGACTCCAGGTAAGTGCTATGAGGGAAAGTGATGCCTGTGTTAAATAGTTTGCATTCTCTTAAATTTATTATTTTTTTTAATCTTTATTTTTTATTTTTGAGAGAGAGAGAGAGTGCAAGCAGGGTAGGAACAGCGAGAGGGAGACACAGAATCCCAAGCAGGCTCCAGCCTCTGAGCTGTCAGCATAGAGCCCGACATGGGGCTTGAACTGACAAACTGTGAGATAATGACCTGAGCCAAAGTCAGATGCTTAACTGACTGAGCCACCCAGGTGCCCCTGCATTCTCTTCAATTTAGATCAAAAGTAAAGAACAAGAACATGGCCCAAATATAAAGAAGAACAAGTTTAAAATATAAGCTCTGCTGCCATAAAGAGGATTTCAAAAGCTGAAGGAGACAATTAGAAATAATTCATAATAATCTTCAATGCTTACATTTTTCTTTTTTTACCCAAATTTAGTCGGATTTTAGCAACTTTAGGATATAAACCAGCACAGATGACAGCTTTAATTATCTTCTCATTATCTATTGGGAGTAGGTAGAGGGGAAAAAAATTAAAATACAGATACAACAAACAATGCAAAAAGCAAGCTATTTACACTGCATTTTCTTCTTTACCTGAATTTATATTAGATTTTGGATCCTTAGGATTTCTACTGCTTACAAATCCAGCTCCAAGAAGATGCTCAGCAAACTGTCCTTTCATGTTATGCAGCATCTAGGGAGCAATGGTAACAAACAGAACTAGAATACCTTTCATACAGATTTTTATAGGGGCCATACAACGTATACTCATATAAATAGCTGTTAAGTTTTCCTTGCTTTATAAGACACTTGCAAAAATGTGATGTTTTAGAGCAGAGGCTGGCAAACTACAAAATTTACAAACACCTATTTTTGTCAGTAAAGTTTTACTGAAACAAAGTCACACTCGCTCAGCTATTATTTATGGTTACTTTTACACTATAATAACAGAAGTGAGTGGCTCTAACAGAGACCATATGGCCTATAAGCCTAAAATATCATCTGATTTTTTAACAGAAAAGTTTTGCCTGATATTAAGGAATAACCACTGATGTTTTAAGTATTGCTCCATTCTGCAGAAGATTCATTAACATAATTTAAAAAATGGTTCTCCACCCCATATTCTGAAAACAAACAAAACCCCCCCAAAACAGAAAAGCATAAATAAAATAATCAACATCCATATATTTCCACTACATCCATAGTTCTACTACTGAGAATTAACTGCTGTTACATACTGGCACAAAGGCTTAATGTCTGTTTTATTGTTTTGTTTTGAAGAAGAATCCTAATTTGAATAAATATGATGCATGGCTCATTATAAAGCACACAAGTAATACAGGAAGGACAAATGAAATTTCCCTAACTCAGTTTAGTCAGAAGTAACCATTAACTAACTAAATAATACTGCAGATATTTACACATATATACTGACAGAAGAGTTAGATAGAAATGCTATCCTAACAATGGGATAATGTATAAAAGCTATTTTAATACAAGTATTAAAATTAATTTGAGTTCAATTTTTTGGGGGTGCTGGATAATTTGAGTTCAATTTTAAAAAGTTAAATAGGGGGCGCCTGGGTGGCGCAGTCGGTTAAGCGTCCGACTTCAGCCAGGTCACGATCTCGCGGTCTGTGAGTTCGAGCCCCGCGTCGGGCTCTGGGCTGATGGCTCAGAGCCTGGAGCCTGTTTCCGATTCTGTGTCTCCCTCTCTCTCTGCCCCTCCCCCATTCATGCTCTGTCTCTCTCTGTCCCAAAGATAAATAAATGTTGAAAAAAAAAATTTAAAAAAAAAAAGTTAAATAGAAATAAAAATTAAACTGATGAATCTTAAATTTTCACAATCACAAAAGATAATAAAGGATCCTTTAAGCTTAAAATAAGAGATTATGAAACGTAAAGTTGGTCTTAAGTCTACATCCCTTTTGTGAACTACGTGACTCTGACACTCTAGACCATGTCCAGGTTTTTTTATTACCATTATTTTATACTGTTCAGAATAATAACTATTCTACTCTATTCTATTCTGTATCTTTAATTCCCAATACTGTTTTGTATTTGTTCTATATTTAAATAATATCCACACACAACACTCATTGATTTAATAGGTACTCTCCATTTCCGAAATTCTTTTTATCTCTTAGTAGACAGCAATTCAATGTCTCTTTTTCAAGAACAGCTCATGGGTGTAGTATTTCAAATGCATTCTTGAATGCCTGTCCTCTGTCTTTATAGGTGAATTAATATCTTGACTGGATAGAATATTCTCAACCCTTGGATTCAGTCATCTTTTCATACATGTAGTTCATTTTATTTTCTTTATTGAAGGAAATGTTCTTGCACATATCTCTGAATACATAGTCATAATTACACCTGAATTTTCTATGGAGAGACACCTATTATCTTTATGATGGATCAGTCCTGTCTTCCTGTCTAGAAGCTTTTTACTTATTGTTTTCAATTTTTTCTTTTGTGGCTGCATCTACAAACTGTGATTACCTAGACTCTTTCTTCTATATCAATCCTTTACAGGGATATCCATTTTGTTCCCTGTAATTCTTTTGGTCATCAATGTGTCTTCTTAGGTCAGCAGTCTTTTCATCCACTCTATTATTGGTTTATTTTTTTTATCTTTGTTTTATTGAATTCATATTCTTCCTAAACTGTTATTTACTATGAAGCAGTTGAACAGTATTTTCTGTTGAGATATGTTGTAATCTATTCTTTTTTGACATTGATTGTTGTAACTTTGAGAACTGTCATATTTCATTTTGTTAATGTTTGCACAGCTTTTATTAGATTTGCTAGACATGCTAGATTCTTGATTCTTTTACCCCCTTGTACATTTGTTAAATGTCCAGTACCAAGGTTCCTGCCCTATCACTGGAATGTACATGTAACAGGGGAACATGAGGAATTCCTAATCTTACACTTCTCCAATTCAGTGTAGAGTCGTTATGTCTGATGTCTATCTGTCCTGTTTATTTACGATCTCTGGTTCACAAAGGCCTCCTTTCCAGTGTTTTCTTATTAAAGATAAACTATCCAAAAGTTAAGGTAAAGATACTGTTTATTATTTTAAAATAGATTTTAGGAGTATCAGTGAGCATTTTCAGGCTGAATCATCAAAACAGCAACTAGAAGGTGGGGGCAAAGAGTACCCAAGCTTTACTACATTTTCCTGCTGTACTCTGGAATCTTGTTTCTTTTCTTAGCCATTAGCCACCTTTATGTTTATTATATTATATACCTTTGTTTTGTTGCAGTTGATTTATTTAATAAAGATTCCTTCTATTATTTTGTATAATCATTTAACTTCATATAACAAACTCACACCATTAACTTTTTTGCTGAAGATCTAACTATACAAAATGGATACATATAAACATATTGGGGAATCATTTCAAAACATTCACCATTACCTGCAATGTGTTTGAAGACAAAAAATATTCCCAGCAATAGTCTTTTTCATATCTGAAACCACGTCGTCTAGCATCTTCCCAGCCCTATGGAGCAAAGAAATTAAAGAAAACTATTAATATTGTTCATCAAAGCAAAGATTCTTACTAGTTTAACCAATACTTCATCTTCTTTATAAACTACTCAAAGAATTTTGAAATTCACATACTATTAAAAAAAAGCACTCCCCATGATTCTAGTTAAGATATACCCATTAATGAATTTCCAGACCTTTCTTCATACAAACAAGTACAAGTTATATAACAATATACTGTGTATTTTATACAAAATGCCATCATATATATTAGGTATTAATAAAAAAGAACACTCTGCTGAACAAATTCTAATGCTACTGTATTGGAATATACACAAACATATATATATATATACATATATATATATATATATATATATATATATATATATATATATATATATATATATATGAAGTTATATACACAGACAAGGGAAGATGGGGAAAAAGAAAAGTTAATACTGGATGAGCTCAAGGAAAAAAAATACATAAACTTTCCCATAATATGTGGTATAAAAATGAATCTAGAGCTACAGTAAAAAGATACTATCTCTGAAAACCTAATTACATTTAAATTTTGCAAATATGGGTGATAAATGTATTCCTCACATAAGCTTGACTTTTGGGAGGAGAAACGGTCTCTCTAAATAATGTGCATGATTAGCATACTCATCAAAATGTTAAATCTGAATAAGTTATAGTTTATTAATAAACAGACTAAGACCATCTTTTACGAATGTCAACAAAAAGATATAAATGAATATAAAATAGATTTTTAAGATAAACTGTTAATTTGTTCTACTGTTATCAAAACACAAATACAGATTTTTTTTCCCAAAAGGGTAAATGTAATGAACTATCAAAAAATATATCATGTGTAATGTTTTTTAAATGTTCACCTAATTTTAAACACTCAGCAATTTATTCCTGATACCTATTAAATATACGCATTTTAAAAAGTGAGTACGTCTATTATCAGCTTTTCACTTGAATGAACTGTCACAATCTAGAACAAGTCATTTTTTACCTCAAATGCATTCACAACTGTCAGATGGTCACTTTTGGTATCTTTTGCCAATTCTTTTCTTCTTGCATCTGCAATCTTTTCTTTGCCCTTAAGAAAGAAGAAGAAAAAAAAAAAAAAAGAAAAAATAGATGAAGGCCACTTAAATTGCCCTGATGGTCAAGTGAGAAAGGCATTCAAATAAAATGTTGAAAAATGGATCTCAACAAAAACTATTCTGTGAATATAAAAACGCTTAGCCTTTTATCTGTATCTTTCTTACCAATGGAATGACAAAGGGATCTTTGAAGCTGAGACTAGCAGCAATGGTGAGTACTGGGTCTAAACAACAGAAAAGAGCTCCAAAAAGAATCATTTTTCCAATGTGTGGCTCAACTGGTAATCGTGCTAAGTGGACTCCAAGGGGTGTCAATTCTTCTTGTTTATCCAAAGCATTCTGTAAAGCACGGATTTATGTTTAAAATCAACACTGTAAAGCATCCTATTCAAAGCTATTTTAGTTTGCTTTAAAATAAACAACAGGAGAGTTCTCACTCTTAGACCCAAATGCTTTAATATTGTTCGATGCTGTTTTCTTCACCACAACAGAATTTCTGAAGTCAGCAAAGGTTAGAAACTTACATTAAAATAGACAAATAAAATATCCACAACCTGGCCCTACTCTAAATGTTAGGAGAGAAATAAGAGAAATACCACATTAGCAAACTTTCAATCAAATAAAATCACCCCCTGGTGTTGTGGGACAAAATAAAACAAAGAAAGAAACAACTATTATATATTCGAAATATATAATGCAAAGCTTTGATTCTGGTAGTTTAAGAGACATCAGACAGGAAGGCAAGAAATAATGGGCATATCCAGAACACTGAAAACGGGGGGTGGGCTACTGCTCTGATTACCTAGGTAATTTGGTCCAATTGTCCCACTGAATATAGTTAGGAAAGCTACTTGAAGACACTGAGGAGTTAAAAAAGAAGTATAAAAATTTTAAGTATAGAATTTGGAGAATAACAGAAGTCCAGGGAGGTGAGCCCAGAACTGGTGCTTCTTTTCCTGGCAGAAGCAACATAAATCTTCGCTGGAGAAAGTTATCATCATCTTAGGTTTCAAATTTTTATCTACAAAGAGCACTATAAATGCAATGTCCAGTACACAAATAAAATAACTAGGTACACAAAAAGATATCAACAAAAAATAAAAACCATAACCCGTATGTATCCCATCAGAAAAGACTTCTACTAAACATTTATGGTGGAAATAACCTTAATCTTACAAAAAATTCTTTCAGAGAACAGAAAAACAAAAAAAATATATAATGCTCCCTACTTGTTTTTTTGTACCTGGCATAATCTTGGTAACAAACTGGACAGGGACATTTGGAGAAAGGAAAACTACTAAATAAACTTATGCATGAGAAACCACAGGGAGGAAAAAAAAAAAAAGGCAAATTGAATCCCAGCAAGTTAGATTTGTTTCAGGAATGAAAGTTGGTTTAACATTTGAAAAAAAAAAATCAATGTAATCCAATACACAGCAAATTAAACAAGAAAAAACCCACATCATAATCTCATGAGAGGCAGAAAAGGGATTTGACAAAATCAATTATCCATGCACAATAAAAATCTTTTAGCAAATCAGAAACTTCCTTAATTTGACAGTTTCCATGAAAAAAATCTTCAACAAATACACTCAACAAATTGTTGACAGCTTTCCCTCTGAGAAAAAGAACACAAGAATGTACACTATCATAACACTTCTGCTCAAGATTGTACTATGGGTCCTAGATGATTGGAAAGGGATAAACAGAACTATTTATAGGGCCCCTAGGTGGCTTAATGGGTTAAGTGTCTGACTCCTGATTTCAATTCAAGTCATGATCTCATGATTTCGGTTTGCAAAATGGGAGCCCTGTGCTTGGGTCCGCACTGACAGCAAGGAGTCTGCTTGGGATTCTCTGCCCCTTCCCCAACCAACCATCAACAAAACTAAAAAGCAACCTACAGAATGGGAGAAAATAACTGGAAATGACATATCTGATAGAGGGTTAGTATTCAAAATATATAAAGAACTTATAAAACTCAACACCCTAAAAATGAATAATCTGATTAAAAATGGGCAGAAGACATGAACAGACATTTTTCCAAAAAATATAGATGGCTAACAGACACATGAAAAGATGCTCATCACTTGTCATTAAGGAAATACAAATAGAAACCACAATGAGATATCACCTCATGCTTATCAGAATGGCTAAAATCAACACAAGAAACAAAAGGTGTTGGCGAAGATGTGGAGAAAGGGGAACCCTAATGATGCACTGTTGGTGGGAACCCAAACTGGTGTATCCACCGTGGAAAACAGCATGGCCATTCTTCAAAAAGTTAGAAATAGAATTACCTTACAATCCAGCAACTGCACTACCAGGTATTCGCTCCAAGAATACAAAAATACCAATTCAAAGGGATACATGCACCCCAAATGTTTACAGCAGCACTGTCTACAATAGTTAAACTATAAAAGCAGCCCAAGTGTCCACCAACTGATGAATGGATAAAGAAGATGTGGCATGCATATATATATATATATATATATATATATATATATACACACACACACACACATATATATATATATATATATATATATAATGGAATATTACTCAACTATAAAAAAGAATGAAATCTTGACATTTCCAAAGATGTGGAATATCATGCTAAGTGAAATAAGTCATTCAGAGAAAGACAAACACCTAATAATTTAACTCATACATAAAATTTAAGAAACCAAAGAGCATACAGAAAAACAAAAACAAAAACAAAAACAAAAAAATCCCAGAGAGGCAAACCAAGAAACAGACTCTTAATTACAGAGAACAGATGGTTACCAGAGGGGAGATGGGTGGGGAGATGGGTTAAACAGGTGATGGCGATAAGGAATGCACTTGTGATGAGCACTGGGTGTCTTAAGGAAGCATCAAATCACTATATGGTACACCTGAAACTAATACTACACTGTATTTTAACTGGAATTTAAATACAAACTTTAAAAAAGCTTTGGAATCTACTGTTGGGAGAAGGATTTGCTGGCCTTTTCATGATGGAGAAGGATTTGCATGGCCGTTTCAAGCAAACGGCTAAGTAAAGACTGGCTCTTAAATTCAGTTGGGAGAGAAGAAGCCACCCACTTGGGCTTCAGAGTCCAACTGTTCTCTGGTCATCCATCTCTACCATCAACAGTAAGTTGATTCTCTGATTGCCACCTAGCTCTATTCTATTAGACGAAATAGCAGCAAAGCTCTATTCTACTAGATAAAAGCCTAGGTGGGAAGACAGGTTAGCAGTAAAACTGTACTACTTCCTAAAGTACCAGGAACCTCACTAAACCTAATACAAATTCCAACAAAGACAGATAATTAACAATGCTTTTTCATTTAAATAACTCACATTAAAAGCTACTACAGTGTTCTGATGTAGGTCAAATTCTCAAAATTACCTGTATAAATGGCTTAAATAAAAATGAAATATATAAAGTACATCTTCAGAAACCTCTAACCCCACATGAATCAACAGAATTTTAGCAATGACAAAAATGTTCTATGTGCAATGTGACTAGAGATGAATTTGTAATTTACTTCAAAATTCAAATTTAAATAGTCACATGTGACCAGTGGCTGCCTTATTGGAGAGGACAGCTTGAACCACTTTTTCTCTTCTCTGAGCATTACCTCACAGCGCCCTTCTCCTCACTCTGGGTACTAATTCATAGCCAGTCCTGTGACTCTTCTCAATACGGTCTTGTGCAGGGATGGCTACCAACTAAGTAGTCACTTGTTAAGTCACTGAAACTAGTTTCTCAAAACAATGATGTCACAGAAAGAAACTAAAGCAGAACAAAACAAAAAAAAAAAAAAAAAATTAAGACCAAATGTCAGGCAGGGGGATATAAAGCTCACTAGTATTCTTTCAAAAATACAAGAACTGCCTTCATAAGATGTCCACAGTCATTAAATTATTTGGATTTGAGAAAAGCTCTGAAACATTATGGTAATCAGAAGAATCTAAGATACCAACCAAATTCATCTGAAGAATGCAAATGAAGACAAAGACCAGTAAACTGAAAGATATAAAATTTTATCTAGTTTTTTTTTTTTTATGTTTATTTTTGAGAGAGACAGATAAAGTATGAGTGGGGAAGGGGCAAAGACAGAGAGAGGGAGGGAGACACAAAATCTGAAACAGGCTCCAGGCTCCGAGCTGTCAGCACAGAGAACAATGCGGGGCTTGAAATCCAGAACAGCGAGATCATGACCTAGGCTGAAGTCGGACGCTTAACCGAATGAGCCACCCGGGCGCCCCCAAAATTTTATCTAGTTTTAAAACAAGCCTACAATGAAAAAAATTGTGTGGAAAGGACCCAGAATAATAAGACCATCACAAAGGTATCATTTTATAACTTTCTAATTCATGTTTCATATACCAAGCCAAAGAGTAAATCAAATTTGGCACTGTGTATTCATTGATCTACTTCATAGTAATGAGAGTAAATTTTTTAATCAGGTGGCTTACATGCTCTAACATTATAAATCTAACTTAACATTTTGAAAAATAAAATAAAATTTACCAGTTCCATCAGGTGTTTTATGGAGAGTGACACCGCTTCATCTGATGGTGGATCCATTAACCTACTCAGAAAATAAGCAATTCCACCTAGCCTTAAAATCTGGGGGAAGACAAATATAATTAAACATATATCATATACTGACATTAACAGTTTAGTCATGCCTGTGTCAGTCAATTAATAAAGCATCAAACTTATACACGATTTTCACATTACTACTTTCTATCACCCACCAGCTTTATATTAATGAGAAAAGTAGCTGGTTAAAATCTCAACAAATAGGTTAATTTACCAATCATTTTCAAAATAAAAAGGTTGTTTCTATCAAAATACATATAAAATGCCAAAAAATGGTGAGTGGTTTATCAGACGGACAGCACCTTAAGATGTAGTAACAGTACTTGTAGCTAATATTTATTTACTGAACACTTACTCACTACATGCCAGGCAATGTTCTAAAGAATTCTATATAAGCTTTATTTAAATAACTTGCCACTAGCTTGTCAGGGGAGTTAGGATTCAAACACAGGCAGCATGATCCTAGAGCAGTACATGATAAAATGTGTTTAATAAACATTTGAAGGAAGTTTAAAGACAGTTTACTAAAACACACACACACACACACACACACACACACACACACATGCAAGATAACAATTCTTCACAGATTAATATACTACTTTCTTCTATACAAATGTTGAAAATTAGAACCCCACTCTCCATTTAGTTTCTTAACTCTCCCACCTAATTTACCTTTATTTGTAAACAAAGCTCTTCCAGAGGAGTTCTCAAAATTTCTGGCAGTTGATAGTCATCCAGAAGGCTTGCTCTAAGACCATTATATAGATGATAGCAATGACCAGGCTGCACTCTTAAAAAACAAATAAATAAAAGGAACATTACCAATGACTTTTTAGAACTCCAGAGAAAATAGCAGGCAGGGAAAATAGCCCATATCTGTATCATATGAACTACACCATAACTAACTTAATTTTTTTTAATTTATAAAAACTATAAAAGTATAAAAACATAACTAACTTAATTTTTTTTCATTTTTATTAATCATACATTCCTTCTCCCCATGTATCTGAGTAACAGTATCTAGATCCATTATCCCTATGTTCTAGTTTTAAGAAAGAGATGACTTCCTCCCCGCACCAATAATTTGGTTCCTTTTTACTAACTTACAGATTCCAGAATGCTGTGCTTAATAACTGTTTACTGAGGTCTACCCTCTATATGCCTTGTGAGCATTTTATGTAATAATCCTAGCATTATGTTAACCTGTCTATATTATTTAAAATCTTTTAAGTATGTGCTATTTAGTGAGCTCTCAGAGGGATTTTGGAAATGTTTTAGTTGCTGAATTTTTCTTTAGTGATATAAATGGACAGTGTTAAGGACAGACATGTAGAGGTGAGGGTATTCATATATTTTCAAACAGAATAAATATTCCTATGGGCTCTTGCTGCTAAAGGAGGGGGAGGCCCGTTTTCTATAGGAATAAAAATAAATTCTAAAATTCTTAGCTATTTCTGTCACAAGTATACAAAGACCCATCATCTATTAATATAACATGCCTGTAAAAACGAAGAATGCTTCCACTGAGGACCATATAATATAGTTTGATCTGGCCTTCAAAGTAATTATTAATCAAATCAGGCTTTGCTAAAGGAATTTATATCTGTGGACCCTACAAGGGGCTATTTTTCATTTGAATTAAACCACTGTAATTCCATAGTTAACTTCTATCAAGCTACTGCAAATGAAAATTTAGATGAAACATAATACTTCGTTTACTTTATTTCTAGAACCGTTTTATGGATCAAACCTAAGGCTAGTATGTTTACTATTCATATAAAAAAGTGTACCACAATGGTGAATACTACTTGAATTAGTATCCAGTGGTATTAAGTCTTCATGAGAAAACCTCAGTCTTAGAGATTATTCTTAAAATAAGCTATCACTTCAGCTCAAGAGCAGCAACTGCATAATCTAATAAACGGCCTACAAATTGCAGTGGGAAAATCTGCAAAGATTATAGCAAGATACAGAGCTTTACTACCTACAAATGTAAAACAAAGTATTGCTGAAATTATCTAACTCTCCTTTCCTTACTTACGCCAGTTATCTGAAGATTAATGGAAATTTTTTCGTACTACCTGTAGGAGGCAAAAGAAAAACTCTCTTCTACAACTTCAGACGTGATTCTACCACTCATATGAGTAAGGGTGTAAAACTTCTAGGAAGTATGTATTAAAATGAATAATAAATGCAATTACTTGTGTTAAAGGCAAATCACTCTTTCTACCATTAAGATAAAGATATTATTTCTTATGCTACCCCCATATCAATGAGAAAACTTCCTTGTGTTTTCATTGGTAACTAATAGTGAAAAACCAGTATAGATGTAAAGTACAGGGTTAGCAGCCCAGACTGGAGCCAGACTGCCCGAGTTCAAGTCCTGACTCTGCTACTTACACAACTGTTTAACTTTTAATTTCTTTATACCATAATTTCCATACCCTTAAAATGGGGGCAATAACCTAGTTCCTAGCATTGTTGTGAAGATTAAGCAAGTTAATATATACAAAGTGTTTAGGAGATAACATGACATTCAAATATTATTACTAGTTATGATTAGTAATTCATGCTTTTTAAAAAATGGAAACAAAATTAAATAGAACTAATAACAAATTAACAAAGAATATTAATTTTAATTAACTAGATTGAAAAATTAAAAATAGAAAACTTGGCAGATATTTTTCCAAAGAAACTATGATTAAAACAACTTACAGACAAAGGTTCCATCTTACCTTCCAGCTCGACCTTTCCTTTGTTTGGCATTAGCTTTACTAACCCACTCAGCAGACATGGTACTGATGTTGTTTTGTGTGTCAAAGTGTGTCTCTTTTATTTTTCCTCCATCTATTACATAAACTACATCATCTATGGTAATGCTGTTTGGAAAACAGATGTATGAAATATTAAAAATACATTAAAAGCACATAACCTCTAACAGGACTACAGATAGGGACTTCAAAGCATTTTTAATTAGTCATATTGATTTTGCAGTTAGGGATTTTCACCACTGTTCCCACATTCACCAACATTACAGGGATCAAGCCCCTTGTTGGGCAGGCAGCATCAGGAGCTGTAGTGGCAGTCAATTCTGCAGATGACATGAGGAATTTTTATTTGCCCATAGTCAAACTTCATAGCTTGCTTGATGACTTTTGTACCTAGCTCTGTGGTCCCAAGTTCCCACATGGTTTAATATCAGCTTCCACAGAAAAATCTGTTTCAATGAGTATACAGACATATTAATGCTTCCAAAGGAATATAAGAAATTTTAAGGCTATTTATAACTAATTACCAAATACGACCCCCAACCAGAAAAAGGCAAAACCAAAATTGACCTCAACTCCCATGATTCCTTAAGATTCCTTAAGAAGGTTTTTTTTTTAATGTATATTTTTGAGACAGAGTCACTGTGCAAGCAGGGGAGGTGCAGAGAGAGAGAGAGAGAGAGAGAGAGAGACACAGAATTTGAGGTAGGCTCCAGGCTCTGAGCTGTCAGCACAGAGCCCATTGCAGGGCTCAAACTCACCAACTGTGAGATCATGACTTGGGCTGAAGTTGGACACTTAACCAACTGAGCCACCAGGCACCCCAAGAAGGCTTTTTAAAAAACACTTAGAAAGGCTAATCCATTATAGGATTAGAAAGCAAACAAAAGCCTCTGCCCAACACCATGACTAAATTAATTTTAAAGACATTATGAAGTATCTTTTAGAAAGAGAAGTGTATAAGGTATGCTAATTTATGGGGCTCAAAACTCATAATCATCAGTAGTTGATATTTAAAACAATTTTTACCTAGTCTCTGCAATATTGGTAGCAATTACTATTTTCCGAACACCAGGAGGAGTTCTTTTAAATACCTGTAAGAATCAATACATCAAAACCTCAAAAGCACATTAATTTCTAAGACATCATTCTTCCAATCAGAATTACTTCAGATACTGTTCCTTTTCAACATTGCGTTCATTCCTTCACATATGCATCTAACATTTGTACACATACTTATAGGTACACATCATTTTCAATTAAACTATCATTTTCGTTAAACCAAACAAAATCTCCCAGATTTTAGAATGAACCTTATCACAAACTAAATTTCAAATGAAATAGGATTACTTAAATTTACAGAATGTTTTTTAACAAGAACTGTAAAGCACAATGTTTTTTTGTGTATCAAACTCTTGAGAGAGAGAGAGTTCAGTTTAACAATAAGAATTACGAATGATCCAAAACTCTAAGGGTAAGGGACACCAACCACCCAGGCAGATGCCAAACTCAGAATGGACAGCAGTGGGCTGTACCACTACATACAAGTTTTTGAAGTCAAACTAAAAAAAAAAAAAAAAAATCTTCAATGGTATCCTTCAGAAAGCCACCTGAGTAAAAGGAAAACGTGTGGTCAAGTACCACTTGGCTATAATGCAAAGAAATACATACATTTATCTCTTCATTTACATCAAAGGTAATCAACAGAAAATATAATTTCTAATGTAGTCATATAATTTCTAGCAAAGGAATACACAGTTTACAATTAGAGTGTCAGAGTGGAAGTACTCTTCTGTCTGGTCTTTGGAACTAAGAGTCCTTCACCCCTTGTCTTCACTTAGGTATGCACTCTAATTGGGTTGGCTGAGGCTTACTCAGGATTAAAGAATCAGCAGAAAAGATATTAAAAGAGCCTCAGTAAGAAATGTCTTGAGATTTTTCTCACAAAAGGAGGGGAAAAAGTACGAGAGAGAGAGAGAGAGAGAGAGAGAGAGACAGACTTTCTTCTGAGCCATCTCCTTTTATCAGGGCCTGCAAACACTGCAGTCCAGAAAACTATCTTGTCTTTGAGAATGCAGTGTTGATCCTAACGAGGGACATGCCTGAACCTGACAAGAGACAAAACATTCAAAACCATAATAATATATTATTGATAAAACAGGAAATCTCATACCTACAAATAGATTAATTGTTAAATCAAAATCTCAAACATCAAGCTGTAGTATGTCATAGATAACTGCAACCCAAACAAGTTACTGGTGAAACCAGTCTATAAACTTTTCCCTAATGCTGACAAAACTAATTTGTTAACTACACTCAGTTACTCGAGTTTTTGTGCAATTATCCCCTGAAGACTCATTTGCAAAGTTCTTAAAGAAGTGATTTTTATATGGATTACTACTTGAAAATACACCTTCAAAAAAAATAAAAGAAAATAAAAGATAATAAGCAGTCCTTAATCTGAAGCTTGCCTCAATCTGAAAGACAGAGGATGAATAAATCTAACAACATACCTGTGTCTGGTTAACCGTAGGCATCAGTGAATGTAAGGGTATAATAATAAACCTGTCTGAAAATTAAAAAAGAAAAGTAAACTTTAAGACAAACAGTTGCAGAAAAGTTCCAGATTAGTTAAGCACATAATTCTTAATTTATATTACTATATATAATTGGAGAAACTTTATTCTTTTTATTTTCTTGTTTTCTTAGTGCTCCAGTAAGTTCCTACTGACATTTTATTCTGTCAATTTATTTCACATTGATAAACATATTCCCCAAATTCCTAAAGAATGCTTAAAAGTTAGGAACAATCTTTTCAAATTATGCTAGAAAACATCATTAGTTCTATTCCCATCAGTTAACTGAACACCAAAAAATTCGCTCTAATATGAATATAAGTTTATAGACTTTGGGTGATCCTCAGTATGTTAATCATATAGATAATAAGTGAATTTTTAGAGCACTTTAATGAAATTCCCATGTCCACTTTTATGTTAAAAAAATAATGAAACAGCACTGGTAAAGTGACCCACATTTTTAAATATAATTTTGTTAGAAATGCAAAATCACATTCCTACTTTTTAAGTTTCAAAATGAAATAGTTCAACCCATTCGTGATTACTAGACAGTAGGGAGAAAGTTTGGTGTAGTTATTAGTGATGGAAATAAGGGAATGTTAAGGAAGCAAGGGTAAACTTCAAGTTTAGCTATGATTACAAAAAAATGCAACCCGACTTAAAGACTTAAATCTCTAGCAAGTATCGAGATGACTCAAGATAACTGTATTCCCCCTGCCAAAAACTATTGTTATTCAAAGGAAATATGATACTCCCCAAATCCTCTGATAAGGGTTACAAATCTTAAAAGGTAGTAAAAAGCTGTCAAGCAATTGACATTGCTAAAAAGATTGCTCTGAATTACTTGTCTCTGTAACACAATATGAAATGCATTAACTCGATCAATACTCAGGCCAAAAATAATTTACTTTGAGTTGGATTAGGCCTTAAGATATAACTTCCATTTTACAAGTATAGGTAAGAAAGGATCAAATGATGATATTATGAAGACTCAGATTCAGACAAATCTAGAAAATCTAGGTAGGTGGACCTAGCCTAGTCTTTTCCACAAATCATTACCATGGGGAAGGTAAGGGGGATATGAAAGTGATTATGTGGAATAAAAGACTTATCTGGCTTACAATTTTCTGTAATTTGAACTAGTAGCTGTGAAAGACACTTTTGGGGGAAAATGGGAAAATCTGATTATAGACTGGATTATTAGATGATGTTAAGAATTAGATAGAAAAATGGTACTATGGTTATATATTATATAGAAAAGTACATTTTTAGAGATGCATATATTTTGAGAGATAATATATGACAGCTGCAATTTATTTTAAAAAGGAAAAAATCAGATCACAAAAATAGTTGCTGCATTGAAGTCATTGGTATATGTTGTTCACTATACGATTCTCTAGTTTTCTCTAAGTTTAAATGTTTCATTACAAGTTAAAAAAAATCAGTAGCCAGGTAAAACAATGAAAGTAAAAACAATTCTGTTAAAGGTAACATAATTGGGGTAAAAAGAGTTTAGACTGCTGATATTGCACAACTACAGTAGTCAGTGGGAACAAAGTCTATACTCTTATGAGAAGAAAAAAATAAGTTGATAAGCATTCGATAAATTGCGTTTCAAAATTCACCTTTAGTCAGTATGGAGTTAGACCAAATTTTTTTGCCCCTTTTAACATGGTCAACAGAGTACAGCCAATTATTAAGGCTAAATTTTAAAACTATAACTTGAGAAAAAACATTCTTGTTAAACTTTGGTAAGATTTCTTTTTAAAAAGAATTGAGCAGGTGGTAAAAGTATAAATTAATACCTCCTTCCTTGAGAATAATTAGAAAATTAATAAAGTCAATTATAATAACCAATATCACAGCATGTAATTGTAGTGTTACATTTTGGTAGATCTTCCTTGTATTTTTCCTGGTAAATATATACACATACTCAACATTTTTTATTTGAAGTAAACTCTACACCCAACATGGGGCTTGAACTCACGACCCTGAGATCAAGAGCTGCATGCTTTACTGATTGAGCCAGCTCAGTGCCCCACACATACTCACATTTTTTAAAACTAAAAGATCACACAGTAGTGTTTTTTTGGGGGGTGGGAGAGACCAACGTTAGAAGGTTCGGCCAAAAAAAGAATCCCAGTTGTTTAAAAAAATAATTCAATTGCATAGTTTAATCACAACTACACTTTTTCTACAGACAAACGTTATCACTGAAAGTAGTTATTTCATTACAGAGAAGCCCTGGTAATCAGATAAAAACATTTTTCAGCTAGAGAACAGTAAATAATTTTAATTACAGAGAATGTTTTGAGGACATTACTACAATGGGATTTAACAAAGAATGAAAAATACTGCTTTACTATTTCAGTCAATACATTTAGATCAAAACATTTTTAGTGTCTTGTAAAAATAAAATGTGTCAAAAGCACTTCAAGAGATTAAGTTTAGAAAATATAATTAGAATTATACAATACTAAATAGAATTTGCTTTGTATTTTACTGATGGGAAGTTAATAATTATTCCTGAAAATGCTCTGGCTGCATTTTATAGGAGAAAAATGGTCCCATTTATTTCTGAGACATAAGAGATTATGTCTCTTAAACATGCTATTTAAGCGTTGGAAGCACCTATAGAATTTTTCAAAACTACAGACGTTCAAGTCACATTCTCAGATTTGGGGTGAGGATGGGGTCTGAGTATCTGAATTTTACAGAAGCACCACTAGTGACTTGTATATTCAGAACTGAGGAACGCTGGGCTAAGGGATAAATTCAACCTTCTTTTCTGCCCAATTAAATGCAGCAGTGAGTGAAAAAACAAACGCAAGTACCAACATCTTAACTTTAAGGGCTCAATATTATTAGGCAAATTTAGAAAAAGAAGTAAAATATTCTCATAATACCAAAATAAAGAACTTCACCATATACCTACCACCTTCATCTTCTGACCTAGAACTTTATTTTTAAAAAAGAAAGAGATCCAACTTTTGAAAAAACCCAACCTGGGCTTAAGACCACCAAGTTCCTACAGTGAGGCAGCCTTAGACTAAGCAACGCTTCTTCAAATAAAAGAAAAAAAAAAAAACATGCTGCATATGATTTAAGTACTATTCTTAGAATTGTAATAAAATGCATTTCCATAATACCTGATTTAAACATCACTTGTGACATCAAGAGATCATGTAAAGTGCTGATATTGTCCCAGCCTGGTAGGAAGACCAGTATCGCACCATCCTATATGGAGGGGAAATAACCATTACAAAGTATCACGTAACCAAACACACTAAATGTAAACTTCTGTGCACACTTAAACTAGCTTCAGAAGTTTTATTTACTGATTATAACTAAAGGATAGAAGCTCACTCTTTTTAATGTTTATTTATTTTGAGAGAGAGAAAGAGAGAGAAAGCAAGTGAGGGAGGGGCAGAGAAAGAGGGAGAGAGTTCTCTCAAAGCCCAAAGAGGTTCTGTGCTGCCAGTGTGGAGCCCCATGTAGGACTCAATCTCACAAACTGTGAGATCATGACGTGAGCTCAAATCAAGAGTTGGATGCTTAACTGACTGAGCCACCTAGTCATCCTGAAGCTCACTCTTTAAAAATAGGATTTACAACGCAGATATTTCATTTGTTTAGTCTTTTCTTCAAATAGATCAAATGCCTCAATTTTGGTATTCTGAGATTCTTATTTCTAGTGTCAAAACAATTTCTTCCATATGCTACTTGTAAAAAGCATTTAAAAAATTATTCTTCTTTTCTCAGGGTCTTGATATATTAATGAAATTAAAATTACATCACCAAGAAACAAACAAAAAACTAACCTCTTCTTCCAAAACAATGTGTCGGATAAGGGCAGCAATCAAATTCAGATCAACTTTATCATCATCGATCATTTCCAGAACATCTACAGTACTTGCAGAATACCTATCAAAGTTAAATAGGAAGTCATGAAATACCTGATCAAGTTTCCTAAGGTTCAACCTGTTACCTTAAAATCTTAAAATTAATTCAATCAGCAAATGGGAAAACACAATTAACATATAGAAGTATTAGTGGGATAACAATAGTTAGAAACAAATTCAAGAAGACAATCTCTGCTTTTTTGTTTTAGTCATTTAGCCTCTGTGCTCTCAAATTAGATTAAAAACAAGCAAAAAACACGTACCTTTTTCGCAGTTCCCTTACATAATCTGGCCAGCGTTCTTTATAGATTGCTTCTTTTTCTTCTTTTTCTTGTCTGTTTACATGCCCTTGCATGAAACCCCTCTTAAACTGGGACCTGTGTTCTTTTTGTTCTGGAACATATCTAAAATAAATAAAAAAATTCTTAAATAGCTTAAACCTTTTGCAAACTCTCTGGTTTTAGCAAATATCTGTGACTTTTTACTTTCGGGTTTTAAAGAGGATTTTAAAGAACATTTCATTATGCTTTCTAGTGAACGCTACTAAATAGTTTATTAGTAGCTGTTCATTAATATATAAAATCCAACATTTTATATAAAAATCATTTTTCTCTACCAAAGTACATAAAACTTTAGATCATTAGCAGTCAAAATAAAAAAAAATAATTCTACAGTAACTTTTAAGTTTGCTCTAAAAAGTTAACATTACTATTTAATGTAAATATAAATATCACATATAAAATAATAAATGCCTAGTACAAGACTCAGATTTTGAATATATAGGTTTCCAAACCTGAGTGCACATAAGAATCCCAGAGAGCTTATAAAATACAGAATCCTGAGTCCTATCCCTTGTGATTTGGACTCCGTAGGTCTGGTTGGGGTCTGCTAATCTAGGAATTTGAATTAGTGCCCCAGGAAATTGAGAAAATTTATCTATGGACCTCAGACCCACTCATGCTTGAGAACTATTTAATTCTGCTCAGTCTTACAGTCAGAGCCAACTGGCAGAGCCAGAATCTGTATTCAAGTCTCCTATGTGTCAATCCAATACTATATGCCATGACTCCACCACGCCATTAGTGACTGCTAAAAACAGAGGGCGCATCTGCCTAAGAATTCCACCTAACTTAAATGGTTTGAAAGGCATGGGGGTGGGAGGAGACAAAGAAAAGTGAAACTACGCTTTGACCACAAAGCCCCTGGGAATTCACCTAGGGAGAGCATCTAGATGGAAAAGGGGGGTCTGGACCATGGGCTTTAGAGTCAGACAGAACTGGACTGATGTCCGTGCTCTGCCACTGACTACCTGTGTAACCTTGGACAAGATATAAACCTCTGCCCTTCGGTTTGCCTATTTGAGATATTATAATACTTATAATAATATTGGCAGGAGAATAAAAGAAAAATGCAGTAAGATAAAGCACAGTGCCTGACACATAGTAGACACCCAAAAAGTGTTAACCCCTTCCCTATTCAGTACCTGTGACCCAGGATTCCCCTAAGTCTTCGATACATATAGAGGCATCAACTTGAGGTAGGGCAACCTGAGACAGAGATTAGTCCTAGTCAGCAGGATGGACCCACAGTTGGCTCCCTTCCCAGCAATTCCAAAAAACAGAGGTAAGCTTCAACGCCCCCCCTCCCCAGCCAAGCGCCCAATGACAACCCTCCATATCATCTTCACCCTGTTTCCTTCCCTTCAGTTCAGCTCTTCTTCTGGGAAGGGACAGATGGGGGCTTCGCCTGAAAACTTCTGTCGAGGGATCACCTTCCTTCAACTCCCCTCTTAGGGCTGACTAGGGGATGACAAGGGCACATACACCCTTCTTTTGCTTCCGAGACTCTTTAGTTCCCTGAACATTCCCTGCCTTCTAAGGAGCTTAAGAAAGTAATTCATCATTAAATAATTTTAGCTTACTGTTCCCTCAAACTTTACTTGCACTACTGTCACCTGTTACTAGAAAATAATTGGTAAACGTGCCACAGTAGGAAGTGAGAGGAATGGTGCAAAGTGGAATTGAAGAGAGAATGCATAATAAAGCTTACTGATGACAAAACCAGAGCACAGACGATTAAGATACCCTCTCTCACTTTTAGTTATGTTCTACCCTCTCTGATATACACACTTCCCTTTTTCCTACCCTGAATTTCACTACTTTCCTCACTTGCCCAGTCTATCCCATGCTAATGAGGTTATACCTCATTCCCAATACATTCTTTACTTCTTCCAGAATGGGTCAGTCATACTTTACAGGACAGCATCTATGTCTTTCTGTCTACATTTAAGCTCTGAGGATAGGTACCAAGTCTTTCCTTGTTTTATGATCAGACCCTAATGCACAGGGCAGGCATGAAGTTTAATAAAAATCTGTTTAAATGTCCACCAAAAAAATTGAACAGACTTTTCTCCATGTAAAACCGACTGTAGGATCTTTGTTTTCACCTTCCCACCATCACTTCCGTTTTCTCACTTAACAAGCAAGCTGTGGAATCTTAAAACACAAGTGTTTCCATATCTGTCCATATATTTATTTGCATGTTTACTATAGGCCAGGCACTGTGCTGTACTCTAGTTATAGAGATGAACAGGACAAAATGCTTGACCTTGGACAAATCTGAAATCTATTGCAAGAGGTAAATATAAAGGTGAAGTACCTGACAATATGGTAAGTATTGTAAGAGATATGATAAACCTGCTACAGGTTGATGAGAAAGCAACCCGCTCTGTGAGAGGGTAAGAAAAAGCTTAACAGACAGTGAAGTTGGAATTTGTTCTCACATAATTAAGTTTATACATAAAGGGTGGAGAAGGGGTCTAAAAGGACAACATAGCATGTAACAAAGCACAAAATCGTGAATGAAAGGGCACTGGCTGGCATATTAGGGAATGGTACATTTAGCATAGGTACGCCAGGAGACACATAAGACTAGAAAAAAAGGATAGAGCCAGATTGTATAGAGCTTTAGGATGACTAACTAAGGAACAGGAACCTGATCCTATGGGCTGTGTTTTCCCAGCCCTTCCCTCAACAAGAAATTCAAATATTAATTGGTATATCCCCTCGGAGAAGACTGTTAGTAGCTAATGGCCAGAGTGTTGAAGGGATCAATAATTTGGGTATACTAGTTGAGGTATTCTGCTACAGGTCATGACAAACATAAAGGTCCTTAAACAAGTTTTTAAAGAAAAATTTCAGGAGGCTTGACAAGGGGGAGAAAGCTCACGTAACCAGATTTTGTAGGAAAATACATGGCACTCTCACATATATGTGAGAGTGAAGACAGTACCAGAAGAGGAACTACTAGCACGGAAGAGATAATAACAACCTTGAGCAGAAAAAACAGAAATGAGAGGGCACATGCAAGGAGAAAGCTCTCAGGGTTTGTACTGTGGGAAAGGTGGGAGTACAGAATGATTTAGACTGAGTTACTAGGCATGTAGAGCAGTTAGCATATCCTGGTAAGGTTTATCAACTGCTTGATAAATATTAGTCTTTGGATTTACAGCTCAGACACTGCGTGGAGGATAGTAACCATTGTAAGGCAAACTTGCAAAAAGAAATTATTTCATTTTAACGTTTTGGTGGAAGCACAGTGGGGAATGAACAGAAGATAATGATTTCAGCTGGAAAAACGTGAGCTTCAAGATACCTGTGGTACTGGAATGCTGCTGAGTAGAGAGTTAGATACCAAATGCAAAGTTCAGGGAAAGCTTCAGAAGCTCCAGCTCTGAGAGCTGTGAAAATACACAACTATGGCCATGGAAACAGGATGGCACAGTGAAACCATGAAAGACTGAAAAAAGGCTAATTAAGAACCCTCAGGGGAAATCTTATGTAAAGGGTAGGCAATGGAAGCCAGCAAAAACTGAAAACTTGGTAGGACAGAGGAGAGGTTCAAGCACTAATAACAAAGGTTCCCAAACTTTGCTGCCCAGGGAGCTTTAAAAAACTGATGCCTGGCTACCAGCCCAGATTTTGTAATGTAATTAAGGTAGGGAGTGTGAATTGGGCATCTGGATTTTAAAGGGCTCCAGGTGATTTTAATGTGCAACCAAGTTTGGGAATCCCTGATTTAAGGAAAAACAATGTTTTAGAAGGTAGTGGTTAAAAAAGAGCTTCTGAGATTAAAGTTTAACAGAAAAAAAAAAGGTGGCATTAGTATTTTTAAACCTCTTATTTCCTAATATTTACTTACCTTATTTTTTCAATTATATCTTCCAAAAGATACTCCGCAACCGGAAAAGTAAAACCAGGTATGTGTATCATTGGACAGTTACCTATTATGGCAGACAAGACATAAATCTATACTCAAAATGTTTAAAAAAAAAAAAAAATTAACAGATTATAAATAGGCCAGTACCTTTCTTAAGTTCAAAGATGGTCCTGGCACTTTTACAATTCTACCCTATTTTTCCATAATGAATTTAATGAAAAGTAGCAGTCTACTCTTCACTTACTACCATTTTACTGCTACCAAACTGTACACACGCATCACGGTTCTACAAAGTAACATAATATATCAAAGAATAGAGCATTTTAAGTTGGACTCATAACTCATTAGTTGGAAGTCTATTTCCTCTCCATCACTAGTCAAGATGGTACCAGCAGAACCCAAGTTTTAGTGAAATCAACTTAAGAAGCACTACTCTTATGGTACCCAGAATCAGGAAAAGAGAAAAAAAAGTAGTTCAAATAAGACCTAGCAAAATATTAAATTGTTACTTATTATTTTAGAAACACTAGGGGCACCTGGGTGGGTCAGTCAGTTAAGCGGCCAACTTCGGCTCAGGTCATGATCTCACAGTCTGTGAGTTCCAGCCCCGCGTCGGGCTCTGTGCTGACAGCTCAGAGCCTGGAGCCTGTTTCAGATTCTGTGTCTCCCTCTCTCTCTGACCCTCCCCTATTCATGCTTTGTCTCTGTGTCAAAAATAAATAAATGTTTAAAAAATTAAAAAAAAAAAAAAAAGAAACACTAGTTAAAAAAAAAAAACACAAAAAACTACCTCTCTTAGTACTGTTACTTAAATGCTACTTATATTTCAGACCATGCAAAATAAGCAGTATACATTGTAAACCAAGGCCAACATAGCATCAAAGGTCAAAAAGTATCTCAGGTGGTCTCACAGCTCTGCCTGTGAATTGCACAAGTTTGAGCAGTTTATTCAATGTTAGGTCTGGACCATGCATCAAAACAACAACAAACAAACAAAACAATACAAGCAACTAATTTCACACGTCTTTAAGCTTCCATTTTAACTATTCACCCTTACCCCACCCCCCACCATTTTCCTCTCCTTCTCCTGCAACTGGAAGCAAAAAAGATAAGCATATTTTTTAAAAAATGTACTCTACAGCTAGTCAAATTTTGTTTCAAATCCTTTCAACTCTTTTTTTAAATATTTACTTATTTTTGAGAGACAGCGAGCGAGCTGGGGAGGGGTAGAGAGAAACAGGGAGACACAGAATCCAAAGCAGGCTCCAGGCTCTGAGCTGTCAGCACAAGAGCCCAATGCAGGGCTCGAACTCATGAACCATGAGATCATGACCTGAGCTGAAGGTGAATTCAGACGCTTAACCGACTGAGCCACCCGGGCACCCCTCAACCCTCTCTTAATTATGCAACCATTACAAGGCATACTGGAAAGACACATCGGCAAAAATAGGAATACTAGCACCTACCTCACGAGGTGTTAAGATGATAAAGTGCCAAATACAGTACACCTGGCACACTGAAGGTGTTCCAGAAGTGGCCATGAGTACTATTAGTATTAGCAAGCTGCCACTCTAGCCTGTGACAGTACATGAAAACCACAGAACAATCACAAAAAAAATGTTCAAAAAATTATTCAAACCTGCGGTTTGAACTCATTGATGCCACCTTAATTACCTGATGGTGGCACCAAAAACCTACATGTCTTCACTGTAACACAGATGATGCCACCTTTCAAAAATAGGCTCAATTCTCTAATCTATGAGATTAGAAGCTAGGAGAATATTTACTAAACATTTATTTTAAGTACCTGGTACCTAGAAATGTATTAGACATTTTTTGATTTTTTTTTTTTAATTTTTTTAATTTTATTAACTCTAAATTCAGTGGCTTTGTGATAACTTCCTAAAGCAATAATCATAAAATTTACTCACCAAAATATTCTGAAAATTTCTCAGCATTCAATGTTGCACTCATTAATATGACTTTCAGGTCAGGTCGAAAATTGAGAAGATCTTTAATAACAGTCATTAAAACATCTGACTGTAGGTTTCTCTCATGGATTTCATCAAGCACAATATGACTAACACTGGACAAACGCCTAAAGCAAAAGTGTGAAGTATGAAACTTAGTACAAAATTCAAAAACGGAACCATTCTACTTCAACAATTAGTAAAATCCAATTTAATACTGACATCTTTTGCTAATGTCTAACTAACTAACTGTCTGTCCTGAAGTGAAACATACTCACGAGTCTGACTGCAGCCACTGAAGGATAATTCCTGTTGTACAGTATAAGATAGAACCCTGCTTCCTTGGCAACCGACTGTGAATGAAAGACAGGAGATGAGTTTTGGTTTTAGTGTCTTTACTAAACAAATTACTAAGTACCACAAAAGTTTAAAAGAAAATCTTCACAATTAACTTTTTGGTTATAGGAATGCTTACTGCAACAGAGTAATGGGAAATACTACATTCAAGTTCACTATACATTATTTTCACTGTCAGGATACATCAATGATGTCTTTTTAAAGGCATAACCATTAACATTCAGAAAACAACACTTAGGGGCCTAAATTTCTGTTCAGTGACTGAAAAATCAGTTCATTTAAAAAGCTAAATGGAATCTTGAGCTCCAGAAAAGGACTACAGATATACGGTAAGTTAAAGATACCAAAATCAATAAAGTCAATGGGGGGGGGGGGGGGGGGAAGGGATGGCAGTGGATGGTGGTACCAAAAGATACAAAGACAGCAACTCCTTTCAAGTGCAGTGATGATCTACTAATGTATATCCAGATAAGTTATTTCTCTAGTCATTTAATAATATAAAAGCACACTTTAAAAAAAAGACAATCCAAACAGGAGTTTGTAGTTTGCAAGCTTCCTATGCTGCAGTTACTTTAAATGTTAATTTTAATAGTAATCAACATAAAAATAGGGGGAAATCTTTCTTTTGAATCTCTAACTTCAAAGTTTCACTAAAATCTACCTGTATACAAGAGGTGAACATTCTTTACCTCTGGAGACGAATCTGGTATCCGGTACTATTACCATTGCCACAAGATTCGGCCCTTTCTGCGGCCACTCTCTCTGCAACCTTTAATCAAAATAAAAGACATTTACAAAGAAAATAGGATTTCCTTTAGGACAAATACCTTGAACTTCCATAAAATCTGGGATTTCTGAAAAAATGTTCATCAGATTTTCAGGAGTTAAAAAAAGAGACAGATACTAAAATTCAAGGGTTCTAAAACCGGGTATTGTCCCTTAAAAGCTGCAGACTACTGCCTCTTATGTTGACTTTTCACTTTCTCTTAAAAAGCCCTTCAAGGCAAATTCTCATCGCTATTTTCAAACTGCCTTTCTATATAGCATCCTCTCATTCATCTCTACCTTTCTTTTGAACTTTTCTAAAACAGTTAGAAATCATGATCTAAACTTATAAACCTTGTATATAATTTGAGGGCAAAGTACTTTTTGTTCCTCGAGATTTTGTTTTTGGTAGAGATTGGTGTTGCTTCATTCCTGGTTCTTGGTTTTGTTCTAAAAGTTATGGCTGCCAAAAATTAACTTGGAATTGATAATCCAATACGGATTTATGTAACTAAAAGTAACCAATAGACATCTTGTGACAGAACAGTGATTTATGAGATTAGAAATAGAAAATGGCATAATTAAGAAACAATACTTCAGAAATAAAACTTTCCAGTCAGTACATCCTGTATACACTGAGTTAGGCCACTATTTCACTTTTTATTACTTACTAAATTGCCCATTCAAGTACCAACAGATCTTGGAAAAATAAACAAAAAATAACCTAGATTTCTTCCAACTGTCAATATATATGTGTAATATTATATTAGTGAAAATTGATCATATTTTTAACTTACTTAAATCTAGCTATATAATTGTATTATACCAAAAGTGGTTCTTTTTTGCCATTCTGTCATCTTATATAATTTCTAGAAATATGATTCTACCAAAAAGACTACTGTACTTTCTTTAGAAATCATAGTTTAAATGTATACTGTTATTTTCTCCAAAATATTGTCACAATTGGTAACACAGTCTAACCAAATTCTTTATTAAATGACCTGGAGATGATAAATAGCAGTATCATACAACTAAACATAACCGTAAATCTTTATAATTTAAATTTACACAAAAAACCATGCAACACTGAAATAAATTCACTATACCCATCAAATGTTGCAAGAAACCCCTAACATATTAAAAAATACATAACCCATACATTTAACTAGGTCATCTAACTAAACAAACAGAAATGCTGTTTGTAATAAACATGTACCTAAAAGTATTAATAGGATAAACCTAAAATAGTATCTTAATTTTTATGATAAATTCCCTCTTACTGAGCAATTGCATTAAAAAATTTAAAATGCAGCTAAAATATGCAAGGCTTCCTGCTTTCACCATCAGTGTACTTACATACTGAAAAAACAATCTGAGAACCAAAAAACAATGCTGAATGAATCAAGTGGTAACATTTAAAGCATCTATACTGATGGGGATTATTTGGAGTTTATAATCCCACAAAAATTTATCAGCTTTCTCTTCTTCTAATTTTATACTAAAATTTACCTGAATTTATAATTTATCTTAAACTCATGAACATCTATTATAAGAGGTCATTCAAGATTTTGGTCTTTACTACCAAATATTTAGTTTCAAAACAACACATCCTAAATCTATTTAAGAACCATTACAAACCTTCAAAGCGGTTTAGTTCCAGCAAGACTAGGAGGATGGAAAATAAAGTGGGGAATTTTAAAAATTTTTTTTTTTTTTAACGTTTATTTATTTTTGGGACAGAGAGAGACAGAGCATGAACGGGGGAGGGGCAGAGAGAGAGGGAGACACAGAATTGGAAACAGGCTCCAGGCTCTGAGCCATCAGCCCAGAGCTCGACACGGGGCTCGAACTCACGGACCGCGAGATCGTGACCTGGCTGAAGTCGGACGCTTAACCGACTGCGCCACCCAGGCGCCCCATAAAGTGGGGAATTTTAAAAAGTGAGACATTACTTACCGAAATGGCACTAATTCTTCTTGGCTGAGTACAAACTATCCTGCATGCAGATCCTTTTCCTCTTTCAATGTAGTTATCCAAAATGAACTGAGTAACTTGAGTAGTTTTTCCACAACCAGTTTCACCACTTATTACTGTTACTTGATGGTTATCAATCATATTCACCAATTCCTATTTCAAAATGGAAAATAAGTTGAAGAACATCACATAGTGACTAACTCTGAAAAAGCAGTAATCAAAATACCATCAAACTGAAGGTAACCATTTTTAACAAAGGTATTAATGCATTTAAAATTTTGTTAAATGCAATGCTGACAGTTTGTATATCTGGGTCTACCTGTTTTCAAGAGAAAAGCAGCATCAAATTATGAAAAAAACAAACACAAGGCACTATGAAAGGAAAACACACCAACAAGAACTAGAAGAGACAGCTCTAAGTTCTACACCTAAGAATAAACATTAATTAAAAAGAATGCTGAGTGTAGGACTACTGAGTACAAGAAAAATCCCAATACCCAACCAACTACTGAAGACATTAAGGGGTTATATCAAAACTCAAACAATATGGCTTTGTCTGCAGAACAAGTTTTGTATGCTGTTCCAGAGAACAAGGAAGTCTATAATGTATTTCCTTTCAAATAATTAAAGTTTGTAAATACCTAAATCAAAGGGGTAAACTTCAAATATCTGGAAAACCTCACATTTGGGGAAGGTCTTTCTTAAAACTTTTAGATAAACACTAATATTTTTAATAGTAATATTCACTGTATTAATAAGACCATCCTACTACTTCAAAGTAGTATTGGAGGTTATTTTTATCTACATTTTGAAAACTCACCTTTAAAAATTTTCCCATCTACTCTAACACACTATACATATATCAGAACAAGTTCCAAGTTTAAACAATGAAATTATAGCTTGTACAGCATGTGATTAATTCATTATTTACTGGGGGGGGGGGTCTCTGAGTCAAGTAATACATAGTGAACACTTTGTCCTCAAGAATTTACACCAGCCTAAGGGAGGAAAAAACACTGTGGCAGGTGGTACTTAACCAAAACTTTAATCAAAACAAAGTAAGGCTGAGAGAACAGAGTAGGATGGAGAACTGTATTACTCTCTATAAGGTAACTATGTAATAAAGCATAATAAATTAACTAAAGTACTCTATTTTCAGTAGTCTCAATTTTAACTAAAATGTTTGGTCTCAAATTAGGAGTAAGGGTATTTACCCAAGATAACTTACATGTGAAAATTCTATTTTTCTTAAAGTTCTAAACATTTCATTTTAGACAGAAATGAGAAAAGTTCAGGAAAATGGTTTCATGACCATTTTTTTCTTTTGGTCTTTCAAAAATTCAAAAGAATAAAATGAACTTTCAATAATATCCTTCAGAGGAAAGTTCTTTAGTTTGTATTTTTTGATATAGATCTTAAAAGAATTATATTTTAAGTATTTTGCAAATTAAAGGATATATTATTTATTTTACCTTTTGCATTCCATATGAAGGCAGCTTTTCCCTGAAATGCTGAAAATTAAAAACAATTGTTAATTTTCACAAAAGAATCAAATTACAATCATGGTAATCAGAATATATCATAAATATGCTAGAATCCCAATATATTATTACTTCATTGATTATGTCAAGTATCAAGACTTAAAAAAGAATTTTTATAAAAAAGAACTCATGAACTTAACAATCCCCTTTATTTTTAAAACACTGAAAAAGAGAATTCCATTACATTCAACAGAGTGGAGACACTTTGAGTTAAAGCGGCAGTAAAATGCAATCTGATCTGTCGTCTAATATAGCATTCTTCTAGTCCCTAAATTACTTTTACCATCTTTTGTTTGTTTTATATATTCATCTTAGATTTGTTTTGCTATCACAATTCATTTTCCCACCCATCAATCCACCATTTACTAATCCATAAGGCACTGGTACAGATTAATTACTTATGGGTACTTGCCTTTGAGAATCAAAGAAAATTGAAAACAAGTAACATGTGGGGCACCTGGGTGGCTCAGTCAGTTAAGCGTCCGGCTTCGGCTCAGGTCACTATCTCACAGTTCGTGGGTTCAAGCCCCACGTCGGACTCTGTGCTGATAGCCCAGAGCCTGGAGCCTGCTGCCTGCTTTGGATTGTGGCTCCCTCTCTCTCTCTCTGCCCCTCCCCTGCTCTCACTCTGTCACTGTGTCTCTCAAAACTAAATAAACATTAAAAAAATAAATAAAGGGGCGCCTGGGTGGCGCAGTCGCTTAAGCGTCCGACTTCAGCCAGGTCACGATCTCGCGGTCCGTGAGTTCGAGCCCCGCGTCAGGCTCTGGGCTGATGGCTCGGAGCCTGGAGCCTGTTTCCGATTCTGTGTCTCCCTCTCTCTCTGCCCCTCCCCCGTTCATGCTCTGTCTCTCTCTGTCCCAAAAATAAAAATAAAACATTGAAAAAAAAATAAATAAATAAATAAATAAATAAATACATAAAACAAGTAATATGTGAAGAAAATCTGGTCCTACCATTTAAGAGCTAAGATCTTAAGACAAACCTGGATCCTGAATCCCTCAAAGGTTGTATCTCATAAGGTTGCAAGGAATCTGAATGAAAAACCTTTGTATAAAAAGTAGCAGTTTCTGACACATATAAGCTACTTAATTTTTGGTGAATTGCAACTGAAACACCCAAGAAGAAATGATTAACTCCTGTATCTTTTATTTGACGATGTCTTTGCAATTCTGAAAACCTACACTACATGAAAATGACATACACTTAAGAGTATTATGGTTTACAATGACCTAGGTACATTATAACATGAAAAAACCATAGCTTTAATAAACTTCCTTTATTAAAAAGAAAAAAAAAAGCAGTAAAATTAGAACTGTCCCAGTATATTATTGCCATTTTTCAAAAATTTTTATTTCTTGAAATATTGCCCTCATCTTTTGCCTACCTGATTTGTCAAAATAGGAGAATAAAAAAAATCCCCCACTATTTTTTTTATTGTGATGTAATTGACATACAACATTATAATAGTTTCAGGTGTATAACATGATTCAGTATCTTCTTGTACTATGAAATGATTACCACAGTTAAGTCTAGTTAATATCCATCATCACACATATTTACAATTTTTTTCTTTATAACAAGAACTTTTAAGCTCTTAGCAACTTTCAAATATACAGGGTAGCATTACTAACTATACGCTATATATTATATATTAGCATTATATATATAACACATTGTTAATACCTTAACATTATATATATATATTAGCATTATTAACTATGCTATATATGCCTGCTTGGTTATGGTCAGTCAGGTAATTCTCAGTATCATAAAAAACAAGGCAATGTGATGACCTGAATGAATTCTAGCAATTTGAAACAAGTTGCCACACTTTTGTTGGTAATTTATTATAATACATTATTTAAAACCATTTAATGATTTCTAGAAGTACTTCATGTACTTCAATGTAACCATCTCAATATAGAAATATATAGAAGCTCTCCCATTAAATTTGAAACTAGCATTAACCACATTTGCTTTCTAAATATGTAAATGCTGAAGATAGTTACAACCCAATATTCTTTATCAAGACAGACAACCCTTCTATTTCCCAATTTCTGGCTGTAACCCTGAGATATGAGGCAATGAACATTATAAGCTGCTTGAAGACAGGAAATGTCTTATTAGTCTTCAGAAAACACAGCACAATGACAGACATGTAAAAAATGGAAAATTAATGTTTATTAAATAAATCATAACAATGGCATATTACCAAAAAGGATTAAAAAGTTGAGCTCTTAAGCACATCTAACTTTTATTTTATTTTTTATTTTATTTATTTTGAGAGAGCAAGAGCACAAACAAAGGGCAAAAGGAGAGGGAGACAGAGAATCCCAAACAGGTTCCACATGACCTAGGGCTTGATGGCACAACTGTGAGATCATGACCTGAGCTGAAAAGAAGAGTCAGGGGCTCAACCAACTGAGCCACCCAGGCACCCAACACATCTGAATTTTAGACTGGATTCTGTTACTAGCTGTGCAACTGTAGATAGGTCACTTAACCTAAGATATTTTCCCCTCTCCATCACAAATATGCAGAATTTCTTACACAGGGGTGTTGGGAGGTTTAAATGATGTAGTACATGTGAAGTCTAAGTGTCTAGCCAATAGGAAGAATGTTTTACACATTTGTTCTCCTAACTTCCTTACTGGATCACTTACACATTTTTAATATTTGAGTCTGTCCTCCAAACAAAGCAGAGAGATAGGAGCTAAATCTCCTTCTTCCTAAGGCTATAAAAGAAGCTCTGCTCTCAACCACAATAATCTGAAATGATTAAACTTGAAGTCTCCTGTCCTGGAATCATATTTTCACTACATAGGCATCAAAAAATTACACAATTCCCCTCTGGACAACCTTACCTCAACTGTTTTTTTTTTTTTTTTTTTTTTTTTTTTTTTTTTTTTTAATTTTTTCATTTTTGAGAGACAGCGACAAAGCATGAGCAGGGGAGGGGCAGAGAGAGAGGGAGACACAGAATCTGAAGCAGGTTCCAGGCTCTGAACTCTCAGCACAGAGACCGACACAGGGCTCAAACTCACAGACCTGCGATCATGACATGACCTGAGCTGAAGTTGGACGCTTAACTGACTGAGCCACCCTGGTGCCCCACTTTTTTTTTTTTAAATAATTTTTTTAAGTTTATTTATTTTGAGAGGGACAAAGACAGCATGAGCAGGGGAGGGGCAGAGAAAGTGGGAGAGAAAGAATCCCAAGTAGGCTCTGTGCTGTCAGTGCAGTGCCCAATGCAGGGCTCAAACTCATGAAACTGTGAGATCATGAGTGAGCCAAAACCGAGAGTCAAGACACTTAACCGACTGAGCAATCCAGGTGCCCCTTTACCTCAACTGTTCTAATCAGGATATCCAACCTGATCAACGACAGTCAATGGATCCTTTCTTTCCTAAGGGACAGGTGATATTCTGCCTTTCTCACAAAGAATAATACATATTTGCATATTAAAGATGTGGCCCTCAGAATTTCCTCATTTTCTCTTAAAAGAAATACACGTGAACATTTTATTACATCTATCTCTAGAATATCTACAAAGCGTAAATTTTATGTTTTAACAGGAAGGGACCTAAAAATATCTTGCCTACCATAGAAAGAACATACTGAAAAACTCAGAAGAATTTTGTTCTTGTCACAGTCTTATCTTTAAAATGCTGGTGAACATATGTACATCATAACTTTGGGGTATTTAATTTTATCATCTGTAAAAGGAAGGAGTTGGATTAAATGGTCTAGACACCTTACAATTTTAACCACCTTGTCTCTTACGACATCTCACAAAACTGTCCAAGAAAGGTTCAACTAATTTCTTCCCCTCACTATGTAAGCTGCTGTAGGTTATATGCAATTCCACTCCCAATGCTTTTCTCTGGTATAAGAGAAAGAATCCCCACAGAGAACAGTCTATAGAAATACCACTGATCTATACCACGTAGCTACTTCTAAACGTAAATATATTTTTATCAAGTGTGAGAAGAAATGACAAAAACTTTTTCCACATCTTGCTTTCCATTACCTGCATTTCAATATACCGAGGGTCACTTTTTTTCTTTTGTAAATCTTCCAATAGATGTTGGTCTAAGGTTACATCAGGTTCATTTTCTTGCAAGAGATACTCAGAATCTCGGTCAATATATTTGTCCCTGATTCTAAATGTCCTCTTTTCTTGATTTATCAATTTCTTTTCCTGGTCCTCAAGTTTTTTCTCTGAGTTTGGTTTGCTCTCAGCAGGAGCTTCAGTCCCGTAACTATTTTGACAAAATAAAAAAATGATAAAAGGTTAAATGAAGAGCTGCTACAGCCCTGAAACAAAACAATATGCTATTTACTTTAAAATCACCAGCTATTATTCTTTCTTAGATCAATTATGAAAATACTTAGATTTTTATAATGAATTCAAAGTTTTCCTCCTTGTAAATAGATATTACCATACAAGTTATTCCTTGTGTAGCTAAAAAAATTAAAATTCACATAAGTCATCCCTCCATTGCAATGACTTACCGTATTTTTCTGATTTTTCTAAGCTTCATTTCACAACTTCCATTTTCTTCCTGCCACCATTTCTGAGTGCTTATAAATGGGATGCTACATTATAGAGTCCCAGAAAAACCTCTCTTAATTTTTCCTCTACATGGTACAGCCCCCGTAATCATCCTAAAATAGCAACAATTTAACTTCTTACAGATTTCTCCCAGAATTTTGGAAATACAAAGATGGTGAAAAGGAAAACAATAAACAATAACTTAATAATGATCACATATCCAAATAGACTATTCCTACCATTTAGCTTTCTGTGGAATGAATGTGCCATCTGGATTTTTTTCAATCTACCACCAAATACAGTCAGTCTATATAAGAAAAAGGCTTACTTCAAGGTTAAATTTCACTTATTGAAGAGTCTAAAGAGGTTATTTTTATTATCTTTTTTCCCCCTAGCCAATGCTATGAAAGAAGTGTTAACTCGGTCCATTCTTTAAAAGAATGTGTTTTGCTTTACCCGTGATCTTCAGGAGCAAACCAGGATATCTGTGCTTCCGAATCTTTATCATTCTTAGCTTGGACTGAATGCAGCAGCTGCACAATTTGTTCTTCTCGACGTTCATCCATGTGTACTACGGCTCTCTATTTTGTGCAAAGCAAACAGTATCCTTATCAACACTAGAAAGCATGTACAAAATCATTTGATAACTAAAACAAAAGAGCAGATATATACATATCCAACATTCATATGAAACCTAAAATTGCCCTACCAGGTGCTCTAGTCCGATTTCACTTCACAGACCTAATGTTAATATTTTTATATATATCCTTTTTCTGCTATATATACCTATAAAATTAGCTGCAATATAACCGGCAAAGAAAGTACATTTACATCCCTTACTAAAACTTCGGTTCCTTTCTCTTCTACCCTCTCACATACTGATTATTATAAATTTTTCTGTCTGAAATTTTCAAAGATACTCACAATTAAAGTTACTAAAACACAAATGTTTGGTTTAAAAAAAAGCTAATTGAAAACTGGAAATAATATTTGGTGGCAATGAGCACTTTAAAGTTCTTACAGTAAAAAGATGAATACATTACGAAGAAGGCTGAGCTCAGAGGAAATAAATAAAATTGATCAACATTCATGAAGATGATGCTCCAATATGGTGATGATGTAGCTGCTTCAGAAGAGAATTAAACAAACAATACCGGACAGGATAGGAATTACACTGTACACAGTAAGAACAAGAACTTTTACAACTGTTCTTTTATAATTGGATATTGTAACTAGTTGAATTTAAACAGAGTAGTTAAGAGAGGGTAGATTTTTCCTCAAGTGTGCAGACAGGAAAGACGACCAAGATATTAAATGAAAAAAAAAAAAAAACACCAGTTGTAGAAAATATATGCAGCACAATCTTATTTTCATTATTATTAATATTGAAAGATTATTCACTTTATATCGTACATTTTTGCAGTATGTCTTCCAGATGTATTTTTTTTTTTTTTTTTAATGTTTATTCACTTCTGAGAGACAGAGAAACAGAGCACTAGCAGGGGAGGGGAGACACAGAATCCGAAGCAGACTCCAGACCCTGATCTGTTAGCACAGAGCCCAAGACGGGGCTCAAACCCACGAACCGTGAGATCATAACCTGAGCCAAAGTCGGACACTTAACTCACTGAGCCACCCAGGCGCCCCCAGATGTATTTCTGACACACAGTAGTAGATGCTGCAGAGAAGTTTGCCAAAAGGATGAATGGCTCAATCTATTTTTTGCAATGAATGTGCATGACTTTTGTGTTAAATCCATTTTTCTCTTTAAAGAAATACACAAAAAGAATACAAGCAGATCTCTGGGAAATTCCAGAAGACTTTTGCAACTTAACTGAAAAGTTTACTAAAACAATCATTATGCTTATACAATTAAAAAGTCCAAACTCTGGCTGATAGGAAAGCCGTAAGGAAGCACAGGTTAGAGCAAAATCTGTTTATTGACAGGTACTAAAGCCCATCATTTTTTTTTTAACTATACAGCATGAAAATCTCGTTAAAATGGTTTATATATCAGACTAATGTATCTCTTCATAGTATAGGGTATGTAGTCTCCACCAAGACTAGGAGCTTGTACCTGGTTTCTCCTAGACTGCTCTACGCATCTTTTTTACCTGTGATGATTTTAATTTGTAAAGATCTGCTGTAAAAAACCCCAAAACATTGCATATGTCACCTCTTCAGAGTTCTGCAATTCCTTCTAGTAAATTACGGAACCTGAGTGGTCTTGGGGACACCCAACACAGAGTTTCATTATTGGAACATTTCTGCCCTATACTTTGAATTCTGTAATGTCCTCAGCACATGTTAACATTTATTGCTTTGTATACCTACATGAAATGGTTATTGAGTTTTTTCTTGGCAGTTAGAAACTACAGGACATTTTAATGATTAAAGACTACTCTAGGAAGGAACCCCAAGACATAAAGTCATTATCAAGCAAAGTTTCCTTAATTTTTCCCAACACCTCAACCACCCAAAGGCACTGTTTCTTCTGTTCACTTTCAAAATGGGACAGATTAAGCACTTCTTCTCTGAAGAATGATTTATTTCCAATTGAAAGTCACAGAATAGCATTTCTTCAACCAAGGAAAACCTTATATTTTGAAGTTTTTTTTATCTCTACCAGCAGAACAAAAGTCTTCTCACCTTGCTGTATGAGTTTTAGATATTCACAAAAAAGGCAGGATGACTGAAAAATGAAAAAGCCCCTGAAAACATAATTTACACTTTTTTTTTTTATGTTTACCTATTTTTGAGAGAGAGACAAAGTATAAGCAGGGGAAGGGATAGAGAAAGAGGGAGAGACAGAATCTAAAGCAGGCTCCATCCTCTGAGTCATTCAGGGCAGAGCCTGATGCAGGACTCAAACCCATCAACTGTGAGATAATGACCTGAGCCAAAGTCGGACGTTTAACTGACTGAGCCACTCAGGTGCGCCCAATAACTTATACTTTTTAATAAAAACACAACTTATACCTCCTATAAATTGTTTTTAACAAGGTTCTCCCACAATGAGGCTCCAGAGGCTATGGGCAGTGGAGATTTTAGGAGTGCCAAAATTCCAAACATGGATCTAACCTTTTTTTTTGGTAGGTTACTTCCTCCTAATCTTCTACCAGTGGTATCACCCTTCACTCTACCTCACCCCTCAAGCATGGAGAATCTCAATCATGTTTTGGGTGTCATGACTATTTTATTTTATCATGGCATTTAATTTTTTTTATTGTTTTCCCCTTTTTTGGACAACCTCAAATATCCTTGCTTTTAGTCATAAATTCCTGGCAAAGAAGATCCACAGTGATATCCAGCAAATTGTCTACGTTTATTAGCTTCTAATTGTGTGCAACTATTTTAAACCATTACCACCTTCCTGTTTACCCTCAACATTTCACAAAGAAAACAAAAACAAATGGAAAAGTCCTCAACTGATTGCCACCAAACCCAAGTCCACCTGTATCAGAATCTATCCTTTGTTCTCTTCCTTCCCATTAATGGAATTGGGAGGCCATTTTCCTGCTTAAGGTTGATTTCTCCACTAAACTCTGCAGTCCAGTAATTCCTTTCACCTCCTCAGGGCTAATCCTTCTATTGAGATTTACATTCCTTTCCTAAATCTCTCTCTGGTAGTCATTAGCCTACTGATCAATATTCTGGTTTGCCTCTTTCCAGGTATATGGTAGAAGTACATTTTCCCACCCACGACGTAAGCATGACCATGTGACTTACTGGCCAGAGAAATGTAAACAGGAGTCTCTTAAGAATCAGGGCAATTTACTGTATTCCCTCCAGCTGCCACCAAAACCAGCTACTTTTCAGATGGGTGGAGCTCTGTGAGCCATTCTCATAAGGAGAACTCTCAACCTAACTTTCAATGGTCCAGTAATTTGAGTAGAATAGCAACCTTTGCTGTTATAACTCCCTATGATTTGGAGGCTGTTTACTACTGCAGCATAATTTAATCTACCTGATAAACGTTTCCTCTCCACTGACTCCCTACCATCAGTACATGAACAGGAATAGAGTCAAATTTCTTTACCTTAAAAAGAAAAAACGTTTATTTATTTTGTGAGACAGAGAAAGAGTGTGTGCACATCAGGGGTGGGGGCAGACAAGAGAGGGAGGGAGTGAATCCCAAGCAGGCTCCACACTGTCTGTTTGGAGCCGGACTGGGTCTCAGGAGCCACGAGGTCATGATCTGAGAGGAAATCAGAGTTGGTCACTTAACAGACTGAGCCACCTAAGCCTCCCAAATCTCTTTACTTCTACAACACAAAATCCTCTTTTGAATCCACCCAACCCTATCAGATACTGCCCTATTTTTCTTTCTCCTCTTCACAGTAAAACTGATTGATAAGTTCTCCATTTCTTCACCTCTCCTTCACTAGTCAGCCCCCTGCAATCTGGCTTTTACCTCCACCACTCCACAGAAAGGGCTCTCATTAAAGTTGCCAAGGACCTTGTTGCTAAATCCAATAGACACTCTGAGTTCTGACCTTACTTGACATCTCTGTAGCATTTGCCACTATTTGATTACTTTCCTGTTTTCATACACCCTTTGCTGCCTTCAACACTGCTCCTGGATTCCAAACACCCACCTTATTTTCCTCTTCTCTGGCTGTTCCTTCCTAGATAAGAATCTATGAAACTTCTCTTACTCCAACCCTTAAATTTTCTTACTCTACACTGAACCCTAGTGATCTCCAAACTAGCAACACTGACACCATTTGGGATTCTGTCAGGAAAATAGTATCTCTCACTCCACCCTCGTCCCACATTTTAAAAAGGTGCCAAGACTTTCAAGTCTGAAAAACAATGATCTATAGAATTTAGGCCTGCACCCACTTGTCTTCTCCATTCACTATCCATAGGACCTACTATCCATAGGACCACAAACTGCCAATCTAGATTTCTCTAGGCATCAGATCCACAGGGCCTCCTACCTCCCTGAAATCCTCACTTTTATGCCCTACAACATCAAACTCAGGGTCCTTAAGCTGAGTCTATCTTCCTCCATCAAGCCTGTTTCTTATATAGTCATAAACATGTCATTTATTAATACATACTTGCTTTCCCCTTCCCTCCCAGATAAAATCACTTCTGAATCTCCTAAATTGCTTTAATCTGTCCACTTTCTTCCATCCATCTTCATGTACTAATTTAAGCTATCATTTCTCACCTTAATTACTGCAAAGGCTACTTAACTGGTCTCCCTGTCCCAGAACTGCCTCTTTTCAGTTCATTCTCTATACTGGTATGAAAATGAATTTAAACAGGAGTTCCTAGGGGCAAGTCAATGAATTTCAAGGCGCTGCTTATTTTTCTAGTACCAGGCTTTTCAGATTGTTGCTTATGAAATTATATTAAAGAATCATTATATCAATTAAAAAAAAAAGAGCAAAAAAGATACCAACACCACACTCAGAGCAATGTACAGATAATTATCATTTTATGAAACTTTTTGTTCAGTTATACATACCTGTACACTAGGCTGCAAATTAACATATATTTCTTCCTGTGGGAAACTGTCAACAAGTTTGAAAGCCACTGCTCTGCCTTCATCTCACCACACTCCAACACCCATGCTCTTATTCTTTCAGTTCCTTGAACATGTTCCTCTTGACCTCTAAGTTGTGGCATGTGCTGCTGCCTCTGCCTGAGAATCCCTTTCCAAATCCCCCAATTCCAAACATACACACTTCGCTATCTTCCAAGTTTCACGTTAAGAGTTATTTCCTCTGGAAAATCTACAATCTTCCTAGTCTGAGTTAGATGATAATCCACATTCTCCTTTTGATATTTTAACATTGTAAACTATCCCTGTAACAGCCCCTAACACCACAATTTCTTTAAGGTAGGGCCTACACCCTATTAATACAGTGCTTAAGATAGTGTCTCAAACATATCAATCATTAATTTAAAAAAATGAAAATTGAAAGAAAAAGAGCACATTGTTAGAATGTGGTAACTTTGTAAACATAGGGATTATCTAAAAATTAAAAGTTAGGGAAATTGGGAAGCAATCATATATGGCTGAAGGTGGTCAAAAAAAAAAAAAAAAAAAAAAAAAAAAAAAAAAAAAAAAAAGGTAGGATGAGCCAATCATTGAAAAATGGTCATATTGAGATAGAGAAGACGGAGGTGCATTTTAGAGAGAATGGTAGAAGAATCGTAATACAAAGCAAAACTGAAGTATATTTACAAAAGCTACAATTACATCAGATTGGGAACATGGGCTCAGAGTTAAGTACACAGAGGGAAACGTAGTATATTGAAGCTATATTACCAAGATTCCTGTAAAACATGTTAGAATGCAACTGAAATATATTCAACTCAGACAGATGTGACCTGGCTTCCAATCCCAAATTGTGAGCTAGAGAATGAGGCAATCTACTTTTTGCTTTTGAAAGTACTGTGAGCGGTTCTACAAAGGACAGACTCAGTGGAGAGCAGGAGTGGGAGCCAAAAGACTAGTTAGGAGGCCAAGAACACTGAACAAAATAGTGGCTTGATCTATGGTAACTGCTGTGGAGACAAGTCGTTGGATTTGGGATATATTATAAAAAGAGCAGGCAGATTTGCTGAAATGAAAGAGAAATATTAAAGATAAATCCTGTTTGGGAGTTGCAAGTGAATAAATGGTAGTAACATTTACTAAAATGAAGGTTTGGGAAGGGGTAGAAATCCAGAATTCCATTCAGAATGATCCATAACACAACTAGCTTCAGGTGGAAATAATGAGCAATTTTTCCTGATTAAATTTTTCATCTGTTCGCATATTTTCCCAACCAATATCATATTTCCCAGTATCATGTTTCTTTAGATCCCCAGGGCAACAGCCATAATGTGAGCTAAATAAAACTTGATGAAGAGTAACTTTTCTAGTTACTGTGCACATCCTTTTATAGCAATCAGCCAATTATCCTTGCAATGTCAAGATGACTTAGATGTGCTCCCCTTCATTTAAAAAAAAAAAAAGTCTTCTCAATGAACAAGTTACTTTTGGGCTGACAAACATGTACGTATATATATTTTTTAAAGAGAAGGTGATAAGGTGTTAAGATAAATGGATAGTGCCAAAAAATCATTTTGATGAAAACGACACGGATAAAAGAAAAATAAAGAAATGGAATAATTTAAAAGCAGAAGCCTAAATGAGAACTTAATTACATACATTCAGTACCTAACATGAAAGGTGCTTTTAATGAAGTTACTAAAATGTTGTTCTCAGGCTTATAGTATGAAAGCTTCTGTTTAATTTAAAAAAAAAAAAAAAAACTAAACTAAAATAAGCCACTCAGCGAACTTTAATGCCTTCCTTACTACAGATCTTCAAGACACAAACCAAATGGGCCGGGCAATTACCAACGCGAAGAGACTAAATAATCTCTTGAAACGTCTCCTATTTCTAGGATCCCACGTTTCCTTCTCAAAGAGGAGCTGCTACTCATCAGAAACCTCCCCAGCCCAACATAAAAACAAAAAACCTGGGTTTGTGGCTATTTTTTAATGCTAAATATGAAAGCTAGGCTATTCTTCTGAGCGATCTACATTCAAAATAGTACTTGACAGCTTTTATTCCGCGCAAACTTGTATGTATCAAGAAGGCCGCTATTTTCGAACTCTTTGGGCAAAGAACTTAAATAAAAGTGACCAAAATTTTTCTAAGGGAAAGGGCGGCCAGAGATACTAACACAGTGATACCCCAATGAAGTTAACTTCCGATAGGACGTGAACTTAACATTTGTTTTGTTCACAGTTCTCACGTCCTTAAAGCAAAATATACATCCAGCCTGCACAAATCCTAACTGCTCCAGGTCAGATGAGCATGGCTAATGTTAAACTACATAATATCCGCTACCGGAAGTTGTAGCATAATACCTTTGCACACTTGATTTTCATTTCACACAGCACATGCATGAGTCAAGGAACAAAAAACGAAAAGGTTAGGGGCGGCGGAAGGGAAAAAGCCTGTCCTGCCTCATCCCTCTCCACTATCGAGTTTCAGATTTACCTCCTGCCTCTCCGCTTCCTTGTTCTTCTGACCCTGTTTCTTCGCATACCACAAGCCAATTTCGCGGCCTTTCAGGTGCCCGGGATGTCGGCCTCGGCCGCCTCGACCACCTCCTCCTCCTCCGCCGCCGCCGCCGCCTCCAGAGCCTCGGTTCCCTCCATGGCCCCCTCCATGGCCCCCTCCATAGCTTCCCCCATAGCCCCCGCCGGAGCTGCGGGGCCCGCCATCGCGGCCCCAGCTCTGATGGTAGTCATAGCTCATTGTCCCAGCAGGCTACAACTCGTGAGAACCTGCAACCGCTAGAAATGGCGTCCGGGCCCGGAAGCTAGTGCACGTCCACTTCCGTTTTGCTTCCGGCGCCCAGCGCGAGAGGGAGGGCTATTGGAGCGTCACAAGTAGCTGTTTCCGGTGACGTCAGGGAGGACGACATCTGTTATCAGGAAGTTGGCTCAGGTGAAGTCTTCTTGGTGTGCCCGCAGTCCTCTATTTTTGTACCTCTGGAGGGAGAGGGAGCAAAAGGCTCGCGGGTTTCCTTACCTACACCAAACATGTGAGGAAATAGGTTTTACTTTTTACTTTCTTATTATCCATGATTAAATCCGGAATTTGCGTCCAATTAGGCCGTGGATAGTAAACATCTGTTGACACAGTAAAAGAACCTGTGGATCGATGCGTTTTCTCCTAAAAGTCTTGAAAGAAATAAAAAAAGAGTTCATATTTTTGGGTTTTTTGGTAGCTACATCTTGAAAACAGCCTGACACCAGTTTGAAATACATAAATATAAAACTGCCCCTGCCTTTCTTAAAGGATTGTCATTATTTACTGCCTTTATCCAATAGGGTGCAGGGGACACTAGGTTCACTAGGGGACATCCAGTTCATTTACATATTTTCACTGATTTAAAGGTGCTAGGGATACTCACTGAACACGACAAGTGTGGCACCATCTTTCATTTGCTTACCGTCTTGAGAAGATAAAGGCAAAAGAAATGGTTGTGCAGTGAGGTAAGAAAGGAAAACGCTGTATGCTTTGAAGGGGTCCAGAATACACCTCTGTGGCATAAAAATTACTTTGAGCAGAGGCATTCAATTCCTGAAATCTTGGAACTTCCTAAAAGCAGAGCCTCCCAGAAGGATTCAAAAGAACTCAATTGTCATAAACCCCTTCCCCTGGGAGAGGAACTGATAAGATGGACTTATCACTGGAGACTAGAAGTCAGCATTCCAATGTTAAGCAGGCTAAGCAGGCATTGCCACAAAACTGTTATATATCCCATCTATTTCGTAAGAGCCCATTTTTCCTTCCTAGAAGTATTTTCCCATGAGTGCCTTTCTCCTCCTCCTCTTCTCCTATTAAGAGTGGTGTATATGCCATCTGTTCTACCCATCTGTTGAAACACATTTTTGTATGAAGTCCCATGGGTATGTGATTAAATTTGTCTCTTTCCTTGTTAATCTGTCTTTTGTCATTTTAATTTGCAGGCCTCTAAGAAGTAAACCTAAGAGAGTAAAGGAAAAGATTTTTCTTCCCAACAGCCATAGATGTTACTGCAAAATAACTTAATTTTGGAGTCAGGTAAGTCCTTTTTAAAGCACTAGAGGTTAAGCAGTGACTTTTGAGATAAGTAGACTTTAGCCAGACTAATGAGGAAGGGGAGAGATTATTCCAGGTGGAGGAAAGAATGTGTATGAGGGGAAGTGATAAAATATTGGAGACTGAGAAAACTCTACACTGAAATTTAAAGACTGTTGGAGAAGACCAAAGAGGTAGAAAGGAGCATAAGCATGGAGGAACTTATATACCACATAGAGAACAACAGTAAACTTTAAGTAGGAGACTGATTATTTTTGGCTGTTTTGAATAGAAAGAAATGGAGGAGGCAAAAGTGGATATAGAGAGGCTAGTTAACAGGCTGTGGTTTAGTGGAGGCAAGATGGAACATGGGAAGGACTGGGATCAAGAGTTATTTGGAGATAAATATGTCAGATTTGATGATTCACTTGATATGGATAATTAGAGGAAGTGGTCAGATAACCCTTGAGTTTACGATTTGAATGACTACCAAATAAGAAGGTACCATATCTTGAGATGAAGAACACTAGATGAGGAGGATTTTTTTTGGACTTGAGGGAGGGTTGAGTTAATGTGTCTAAATAATACATGTGGAGTTTGAGGAGCCTATGAAACATCCAAATACAGATGTCTAGAAAGTGGTTGACTACATGAGTTAAAAGCACAGAGAGAGCAGACGAGACACATTTTGGTAGTCCTTGGCAAATATGATTAAAACTATTGAATAGTTCCAATAAATGTATTGAAATTCATTGGGCATACCTATATGACAAGTATGTGAATTGTTCAGTAGGTAAGATTGAGTAGGCATATTGGGGATGGTCGCGGCAAAATTTGAAGGAGGTAGTGTGGGTTGTTAGGTGAGAAAGTGTTATGAATTGAATGTGTCTCCTCGAAATTTATATGTTGAAGCTCTAACCCCCAGTGTAGCTGTATTTGGAGATGGTGCCTCTAAGGAAAGAAATTAAATGAGTTCATGAAATTGGGGCTCTAATCTGATGGGATTAGTGTCCTTATAAGAAAAGATACCAGAGAGCTTATCCTTTCTTTCCTCAGAAGAAAGGCATGTGTGGACAAAGAGGCTATGTAGAAGCCAGGAAGGGTGCTCTCACCAGAGAACAAATCTGCTGGCACCTTGATCTTGGGCTTCCCAGCCTCCAGAACTGTGAGAAATAAATTTCTGTTGTTTAATCCAGAATAATACCATAAATAAGTGGTACTTAATTATTTAAACATGGTATTTACTTATTAAACCAATAAAGTGGTTTTTTTAAAGTTTTTATTTATTTATTTTAAGAGTGAGAGAGAGAGAGCATGCATGGGGGGTGGGGGGGTGGGTGTCATGGAGAGAGAGGGAGAGAAAGAGAATCCCAAGCAGGCTCTGCACTGTCAGCACAGAGCCCGATGCACAGCTCGAACTCATGAGCTGTGAGATCACAACCTGAGCTGAAGCCAAGAGTTAGAGGCTTAACTGACTGAGCTTCCCAGATGCCCCTGAAGTGGTTTAATACCACTGAAACCTGGGGTATTTGTTAAGGCAGCCTGAACAGAGAGTAAGTGGAAAAGAGAACTAATGTTTATTTGTTGCTTAGCATTTGCTGGGTATTGGGCCAGGCAATTCACATTTATGGTCTGCAGAATGTGACCCTCATAGATGTGCACATCCTAATCCCTAAAACCTGTGAATATGTTAAACTACATGGCCAAGGGAAATTAAGGTTGCTAATCAGCTGACCTTAAAATGGGGACATTATCCTAGGTTATCTGGATGAGCTCTGTGTAATGGAATGTAGGCAGCATCTAGAGCTGGAAAAGGAAATGGATTCTCCCTTAGAGCCTCCAGAAAGGAATACACCTTGCCAAACCCTAAATTTTAGCCTAGTGAGGATCTTATCAAAAGTCTGTGCCACAGAATTGTGCAGTAGTAAATTTGTGTTAAGACTCCAACTTTGTGGCAATTTGTTATGGCAGCAATAGGAAAGTAATATGATATTCCATATTTCATACAATCCTTATGAAAACCCCAGAGAGAGAGGTAGTGTGATCTCTATTTCCTGATAAATTCTATTATTTTCCTTCACCTCATGTTTGTTGATCCTAAGCAGAATCTTAGTTATAAATTTAAAATTACCATGTTTTCCTGACTTCTTCAGCATGAGATAGTATGGTATTGCTTTAGGCTATTGCTTTAGACATACACTTTAGAACAAATGGGAAGAAAAGTATCAGTTGGTACTTTTTTTTTTTTTTTTTTTTTTTTTTTTTTTTTTTTTTCCTGCTTTGGTTGGAACCAATAAGAATTCTTTGGTTACCTAATGCCAGAAAACAAAAGAAATGACTGACTCATTATAACTGCCATTGTTACTCTTGCTGATGCTCTGCTTTGTGCTGTGCTCTGGGAATGCTGAAAGATGTCTTTCTTAAATGTAATCTCCACTAATCATGGGCTGGGCACAGAATGCAAAACTATTGCATTCACACCCATGGCGTTTGGTATCTAACTCCCACAGGCATGGACCTCCCAGTCCAGTGACTCCCAAGATGGCAGCTAGGGTGAGCCTCACAAGACCACACCATTATGGGAAACTGCCAGTTTTCCCAATCTCAGAAAATCTCTCATTCTCCATTTTCTTTACCCCAACCCTGTGAAACAACTCTAGCATAATTTTTCATGGGCCTAATATTCATGAGGGACTGGATGGGAATTTTGTTTAGTGTTCCCCTTGGAAAATGGAATCCTTAATGGACTCTGACCTCTTCTTGGTGGTGGGGAGAGGGGACATGCTGATAAGAGTAGTCTTAGATCTGTAAAGATCTGACTGTTTTGGGGTGGAGGTAGGGAGACATGGAGAAAATGTTTCCTTCTTATATCAGGAAAAATACTGGAAAATTATCAAACAACTCAATAGAACATCTTGTCACATAAAATTTGGGGGCTCAAATTGGTAGACATTACCTATTTCCTTTTTAATTAGTATAGGTTACCTATGTTTTGGGGGAAAAACACCTAGATTAGATATAACTTGCTTCACAACTATAGTGTGATTGGATAACTTATTGTCCAATTCTGTGAGAGTTAAAGAGGACACTATTAATTGTTATGCCAGGAAAACAATTGTAAATTGGGACTATCCCATGCAAACCAGATGTTTTGTCATTGTAACTATGAATTACTGCCATTGTCTGCTAATTCTATCTGCTTCTCATAAAAAGAAAGAAAAAATGGATTTTAGTATTCATGTTAAACATCTTCTTGAATGTTTTGCATAACATATTTTCCCTTGAAAACTACATAATCTAGGGGCGCCTGGGTGGCGCAGTCGGTTAAGCGTCCGACTTCAGCCAGGTCACGATCTCGCGGTCTGTGAGTTCGAGCCCCGCGTCAGGCTCTGGGCTGATGGCTCGGAGCCTGGAGCCTGTTTCCAATTCTGTGTCTCCCTCGCTCTCTGCCCCTCCCCCGTTCATGCTCTGTCTCTCTCTGTCCCAAAAATAAATAAACATTGAAAAAAAAAAAAAAAAAAAAAAAAAAAAAAAAAAAAAAAAAAGAAAACTACATAATCTAATTCAATTAGTGGATTTTTCGCTGCCCAATGTAAGTAGACAATCTGGGAATTTAGGGAAAAATGTTTTGAATGAGTACTAAGAAAACAAATTTTAATACTTTTTTTCTCTATAAAAAATAATAGAAA